TTAAACTGTCAAACACCAAGCGGTCACCGGTGACCGCAACCTATTGTTCTATAATTGTGTCTACAAAACCGGTACTCGACGAGTTAAACTGTCAAACACCAAGCGGTCACCGGTGACCGCAACCTATTGTTCTATAATTGTGTCTACAAAACCGGTACTCGACGAGTTAAACTGTCAAACACCAAGCGGTCACCGGTGACCGCAACCTATTGTTCTATAATTGTGTCTACAAAACCGGTACTCGACGAGTTAAACTGTCAAACACCAAGCGGTCACCGGTGACCGCAACCTATTGTTCTATAATTGTGTCTATAATGACGGTACTCGACTAGTTAATTCAAGTTGCATAAAAAAGTAGTTCTCGTATCTAGACAGCATGTCTCAACACCAAGTGAGTTAGTGTTAGCCGCACTGTGTCTAGGCTAGACCGAGTTTCAGACTCGGGTCAAACTGGTCTGTTAACAAACACGACCTCGAGGGACAATGACCTCTGTTGACTCATCATTTTTTATTAAGATTCTTACATGTTATTTTGTTTTAGATTTTTTGCGAATCTATCGATCTTTATAAAGGAGAATTTTGTTTACATTGCTGTGTATTAAATTATTGAATGGGTTTTTTTTTTATTTTTGATTGGCCTACGTTTGACCACTATCTTGCCTCGTGGTAAGCGGTGATGCGGTCTACGATGGACTTGATAAATTGGAAAAATTTAATAACATTTTCATGTCTAGATGAGTATTAGAATTCAAACATACAAGTTCACATACACATGGCACCCAGACCCGAAACAACAATCTGTGGATCACACAAAGAGTTGTTCCGTGCGGGAATCGATCCCGCGAGCCGTTGCGCTGCAGTCAGTTGCCCAACCACCGCGCCAACAGTGCAATCATTTCTACGTCAAACTATTTAATTCAGCCGTGATATTACTAGATACATCTACTATCTAGGTACGTTCTTAATTTATCTATTTTATCATCGAATGCAGCTTAACACAATTATAGTACATAGTCACCAGTACCGTCATTACCACAAGGGCCTCGGGGCCCGTGCCCAAGGCGCCCATCCTCAAGGGGCCCCGAAGGACCGACCATTTCTACGACGGCAACCGCCTGGCCGCCCGGCAACGTATATCGATTCCCGCACGGAGCAACTCTTTGTGTGAACCACAAATTGTTGTTCCGGGTCTGGATGTCATGTATATATGAACTTGTATGTTTGTAAATACACCTACAAAACAAGAATTTTGGAAATCGGTTCACAATTGGCTGAGTAATTGGCGAACAAACAAAAAAAAAAAAGAAAAAAAAAGCAATCAGCCGAACATAGTACCTCCTCCTTTTTTTGAAGTCGGTAAAAATATAAACATTCCACAAGGGACTCGAATTATTGTGTGCCGAAGGGTCTCAGCGTAGGCTAAGACGGCCCTCATAGTCACAACTTCTACCTAACACACGACGAATATGCAATCACTTATATACTTAAACAATCATAAATACCTGAGCTACGTACATACCTCTACTTCCAATGATTCTGACTCATACACAGCTCTCAACACGACAAGACGAAAGGAAATGCAAACAGCTCCAAGGTCGTCCTTGCTATGCCCTCTAACCCTCTTATAACTTGTTCAAATGTGTTCATTGACAATGCTTGTACTAGTCAGTGACTTATACAGTCTTTTTTTTAAGGGGGACAATCATCAAATGACTTCTCCCGCCCGGGTGAGGCGGGAGGGAGTGTCAGACTCTAACTGACTAAAAACCACCCCGTTCCTTCGCCTGCACGTCGAGCCGGAGCCCCGGTAACCCGTTCTGGTTCTCCGCGACACTTATACAGTCTATCGTTGGACTAACCATAGATATAGGTCTCTACAAAAGAGATTTATCACGTATGAAGGTCGCAGTTAAAAAGTATGAGCTTATCAAAAACCTTTTGACCCATTTAACACAACTGTGTCGCGTAGGAAGCTGAACCTTAATTGTTTTAATTCATAGTTGATTTAGTATAGGACCGTATTTTTTTTAAGCGGGGAAAATCATTGAATGACTACTCCCGCCTGGGTGAGGCGGGAGGGAGTGTCAGACTCTTACTGACTAAAAACCACCCCGTTCCTTCTCCTGCACGTCGAGTCGGAGCCCCGGTTATCTTATAAAGTATAGAATACAATTACCTTAAATAACGTACAATACTTTATTAAGTACGGGTGACAACCCTATCTGTAAGTCGTCTGTTACGATAACCGCGGGATGGTCTTAATGTTCCTATTTTACTCTACAGTGAGTATAGTGACCACACATACAAGCTTTCATATTATTATGTTGGTACTTCTATAATTTTTTTTGCATGTTGATACCGATTTTGTGTGTAAAATGTCTTCGAGCGAATGACGACCAATTTCGCAGCTTTGACTCAAGCAGTCGTGGCCGAGTGGTTAAGGCGTCTGACTCGAAATCAGATTCCCTCTGGGAGCGTAGGTTCGAATCCTACCGGCTGCGGATCTTTTTGTTCATTTTTTGTTTATTGTAATTTTGTCTCAGAGAATTTAGGGGTTGATATTATTTAATATTTCTTACACAGTTTTTATATTAATTGTTTAAAATAAATTAACTAAAACATTTTATGCGCTAACCTTTCAATACGATTTTATTTATTCGGATCTTTGGAATAAAAAAAAAATTAGGCAATCTTGGTACCCGGCCTACTTGCAAAAATATTTTTTAATGATTTAACATAAATAGTTTTCTATTTTCGAATTGCTCCGAATAAGTTCTTTTAGAATTTAAACTGTCAAATACCGAGCGGTCACCGGTGACCGCAACCTATTGTTCTATAATTGTGTCTACAAAACCGGTACTCGACGAGTTAAAATACCTATGAATTGATAATTCAAAATTTACCCCTCTGTGGTATAAAACACAATGGACGGACGGCTAAGAAAGAAGTAAGGGTCCGTCACGAGCCGCCATTATAGCATCCTGCCACCCTTTGAATATGGAACGACAAAAATTGGTTTTTAAAAGTAACCATAGATTATTGATTCTTCTCCATGCGGACCTCGCTTTACAAGGGTCTGTATAAATGGACCAATTAAATTACTATTACATATTTTAATTAAGCTTGATTCTAATTTAAATGTATCCTTTTTTTTAAATGTTACTATGACATAACATCACGCCATCTCCGAATGGGTAGGCAGAGGTGCACATTACGGCACGTAATGTCTCTATACAATGGAACACCCACTTCACTATTTATGTCCCAAGTGCCCTTATATACACTTCCTTTTTTTTTTCAATGGGAACGTCATCAAATGACTTCAGAGGGAGTGTCAGACTCACACTGACTAAAAACAACCCCGTTCCTACTCCTGCACTTCGAGCCGGAGCCCCGGCAACCCGGTAATTCTTCCGCGGCTCCATATGCAATATACACCTCTGCTTACTTCTTCGGGGATAAAAGGCGTGAAGTTATGAATGAATAATTGCTGTATTTAGAAACAGTTGTAGTTTGGAGAAGAAACTTACGGCTACGGCCCAGTCAGTCAAAGGGTCAGGTCAGGTAGTCAAAGTCAGGGCCTTCAAAGTCAAGTTCAAAGCTACACCAAAACAGATGCATTACGAACGCGTTACATTTTTTTAAACCAGTGCCTTTAGCCAAACGCCACTTTAGCGCTTGTCTACAGAGAGAGTAGAAAACTAAATGTATGGGGATGACACTGACAAGTGTCAAAATTTACGTCAATTCCATATAATTTGGTTTTCTATTCTACAAGTAGACAAGCGCTAAATGGCATTAAGCTACAGCTGCAGAAGTACAAGATCAACTAGGCTATTCTATAAAATGTCAGTTTAAACTCTCGAAGGAGTTCGACCGCATTCTCGCCCGTTATTGGTCGCCAATATTCTCACCACCAATGACAATGCAGACTGCGACCATAGATTAAAGTTACTACGTCCACAACCGAGTTCCATTTTTCTTCTTTTAATTGTATAGCATTTGGCAACCAGTGTGTGAGAGCCGTGCTTTGACATGACACGAATGGACCGGCTCGACTAGAGTGATACCACGGCTGCAAAACCGACGTGAAACAATACTTGCGTTGTGTTTGTTTCGTCGTGTCATGAGGTTATCGGAGACCCAAATACCTTTTTTTTATTACGTGGGAAACTTTCAGAAGGCGCCTAGCTTTTTGGGGATAAAAGACTAGGGAGTGTGGGATTTATACCTCACTAAAACCACTCCGGTGGCCACCCTCAGCACCTGTATGGAGGCACCGGGTCCTCTAAAAGAGACCTGCTCCGGAGCCTCCGGTGCAACGCCTGTTACGACACGTTCCTAGAGAGATCGGTGTCTCCTCCTCTTTCTTTGTTGTGTACGGCGACACGTGACCACTGTGCCACCGTCTTCCCTGGGACCACAGGGTGGGCACCCAGAGTCCCCACCGTACGCACCCGTGGCCCCAAAGGTCCGCCTGAAAGGCCCTATTACCTAGGCCTATTATTTAAAAAAAATAGTTGAGTGGCGAATTTCTTTCATTACTATAGTCTCCCCAGCAACAGAAAAACGCTACGATAAAATACGTGCTTCTGAAATATGAAGTAATCCATAAGTTATGGAGGTCCTTAATAGGGATAATAACGGGTTATGAACATTTAAAATCTATTTAGTCCGTCAATTAGATTATGATTTTCTTTTTATTTTGTCGTATAAGAAAGTAATACTATTGTTAGGACATATTACTATTACTAATATAATTCATTTAAAACCATTTAACTTAAAAACACTTATTTTTTTTTAAATAGGAGGCAATCGAGCAGCAGGATCACCTATTGGTAAGCGATCAGTGTCGCCCATGCAAAGAGTATAAAAGGAAACTAAAAAATACTTATATGAAACTAATCAAAGTTTGGGAGTGGGAGCTAAAACGTCATTTCTACGTATAAAACGTACACATAAGTGACGTCACGCGGTATTTCAAATCAATATATCGTCGAAAGTATTTGTTTCTGTAAGAATATAAAAAAATACGTATCTAAAGTTCTAAAATAATCTATCAGACCGACATTAAAAGAAGCGAGTAATCTACCTTATTGTAGGCTTTGATATAAAACTTTACAGCTTATGCAATTAACTTAGACTTGCATACGTCGAAATACTCAAACGCTAATCAATTTTAGGTCGCGCTTCTACTCCTTTTAAAATGACAGAGATGGCGCGGTATTTAAGTAGTTATGACTTAGAATTGAAGCCTTTCAGTATTCGGGCAACAGACTATAAATTATTACATACGAAATTCATCGTCAACTAACAATCCCTTACAATCCGCGACCCTCCTGTTTTCCCTGCGTGCGCAGGCTTTCAGAATCTACCCTCTTGTATCGGCACCCTCCTCATGTGACCGTGTGGCCTAATGGATAAGGCGTCGGACTTCGGATCCGAAGATTGCAGGTTCGAGTCCTGTCACGGTCGAATGCCTTTTTGTAACTCGAAAATGCTACTGTTGACGTCAGCTGCGTTCAGAATTCGCTACAATCAACTTTTCGCTTGAAAAAGATAACTAAAGTTCTTCGGAAGCATTTTTATTTAGATTTATTTAAAAATGGTTAAAGTATTTTTGAAAAATATCCAGTGAATATGTTATTTTGATAAGTGAAATATTTTGAAATCACGTTATATTATCATTTTCTTTTTAAGCAAACGCTAATCTTGTAATTGAAAGGGGTCGAAATGAATATTTCACGAAAATCAACCAACAAACGGGTTATTTAATCTAAAATTGGACAGATTTAATTAAATTATAACAGTTAATAAATCAATTAAAATATTAGATAAGAAGAAACTCTTAATTTTTACAATTTTCCCCATAAAAGCATGGGAATCGATTCTGAGCGCGAACGCATAATATAATCGTAAAAAGTTGTAAAAGATTACGATCTTTTAACTTCACCAATTTCATCAACCGCAAGTAAAGAGTACTTATTTAATTAGAAAACCAGTTTATGTAATAAAAAGTTTAGTTTAGCGCAATAAATAGCAAGATAAACTCGTTCCCACAAGTACCGGAATGTTACGTCTCAAACCAGTTGCGACATCTATATGTCATTGCGTAACAACTATGCAAATGGTGTCAAGATAGTGGTTGTGCTATTCGATGAGAGATGGCGCTGATAGTAAATAAGTTAAATTCTGTAACACGGAAAACTGTAATTTCGGTGCTATTTCCTAATTATTTTAGTTAAATTTAGTTTTAATGTTATACTATAGTCCCAATCCGAATATTTTTTTCATATTTTAGGTAATGTTAATGAACTTTGTTTATTAATTGCGTCTCTTGGTTTGTTTCAGGAACACTAAAAACATCATTTTTAGCAGGATCAACATTCACAGTACACTGGCATTTAGCATACGCACACCGAGTAAGTGATCAGTAATTTTGACACAGTTCTTACAAGCCCGGCTAGCTCAGTCGGTAGAGCATGAGACTCTTAATCTCAGGGTCGTGGGTTCGAGCCCCACGTTGGGCGAATCTTTTTGTTAATTTTTTTTATTTTTATATTTTTTTTTATTTCAGGGTGGATTTAGTTTAAGAATATTGGACGAATTAGAAAGACCACTTCTCGATTTAACACCACGAGCGGGTGGAACTGAATTTGTTCGAGATGACGTCACGTGAGTGTTAATTTATTTATTTCCCACGACCTACGTTGGACCTTATGCCAAAAGCGACAAGACACAGATTTGTTTAATTTATTATTACCGGAGTTGTTTGTATAGAAGTACATTTGTTTTATGTTAACGTTTTACTAATGACTTTGTTCATGGAAAATTACGAAACAGAGAAAAATATTTTATTTTCTACTTGTAAACATACTTTGTACTTTGATGTACATATTTACAACGTACTTATTATGAGTACAACATAAAACACTAACAAACAAAGCAGCAATTGGTAATTAAACATTCTAAAATTTTTAATTTCTCATTTAAACATTTATTGAAACTTTGAAACCGTACTTAATTATTTGTAATAATTAAAAACAAAATATATTTAGTACTAAATACACATCTAGATTATATTACAGTAAATAGATAAACTTAGGTACGATTTTTCAATCATCAGTAAAGTTAATGTAGAATAAATTTGATATTTAACAGTTTTTACATACATACAATACATAAGTTCACGCCTGTCTCCTATGGAGGTAGGCAGAGACTATGGCACGCCAATTGCTACGATTCCTACAAACCTCTTTCGCTTCATCAACAGTCATCAATCTTTTCATGCATGCTCGTTAGTTAAGGGTAGTTTTAATTTGGCCCTTCTTTAATATATCGCCAATCTGGTCAGTGTAATGTCTGTCTAGGGCGCCCTCTACCGACTCAGTCTCCTGACAGTTTTTAGTATAGAAGAATGGACGAATATTCAAATTTATTCCTAAGTTTAAATTTATCTGGCGTTTGAAAAATCGATCCTCAATTTTCTAATTTAGTTTGCATACCATATTAACTTACTACTGCCATTTAATTAACATTGCAGTGCCCAAAAATACGAGGTGCGTCTTCCGAGCGACTTTACCTGCGAGAACTGCACGCTGCAACTACAACGGGAGGCCGGCGAGTGGGGCAGCAACTACAGATTCTGGTCCTGTGCCGATATCGATATATTGCCACGTGAGTATATTACACAACACTACCTACTGTTTAACATTTGAAGTGGCAATAGTTGTGTTATCTACGTATTGACAAATTTTTTTATGGGATAAAAACTGGTAAATGAGCAGACGAGTCACCTGATGGTAAGCAATCGGCATCGCCTACAGACACTCGGAATACCAGAGGCGTTACAAGTGCGTTACCGGCCTTTTGAGGATTTTTGGGAATCAGGGATTGGGGAGATTGGGGGGGGGGGATATTTGGGCCTCCGGTAACCTCACTCACACCTCAATCGCGGGTAAAGGATAGTTCCCAATAAGAGTTTTCCAAACCAAGCATAAGATTCTAAAGAATCACTGGCTCGGTCGCATAAGCAGTCAAACAGCTTCGTCGTTAAGTCTCTCGCTCAAGACACTAGTTCCTGATGAATGTCACCTGTCACAGTAAGCTATGGACAACAAGAGAGTTATTCTCTAATATATTCTGATTACATTCGCATATTTATCTCACCATGTCCACCTTGGCACACTTCTTTACAAATTGCTCGGATGTCAAGACATTATGTTATTGATTAGCTCGAATTTATAATGAAGTAATACTTATGCCTAATCTGTAGATGCTAATATTATAAAGAGGGAAGTTTGTATATATGTTGGTACGTTTCTACTCTTTTACAAAAAAAATACTACACGAATTTGGATGTTCAGTATAAAGATAATCTAGATTATAATCAGTTTTATCCCGGGGACGCGGGCTAAGCTGCATTTTACTCGTTCGTATGTTTGTATTGAGTAAGCTCCGAAACTACTTTACCGATTTGGAAAATTCCTGAATCATTGGAATGCTTATTATTTAAATAGTAACATATAAGTATATCCCTAAATTCTTATCGAATCGGGACCTAATTGAGGTGAATCTTTTTAACACCACGAATTCAAAGGCGGTTCCTAATAATACCTAATACAAATGTTGCAAAATTAAGATATCTCATCGCGAGTCAATGATTAATGTTTCAATTTAAATAATTTAAATACTTCGTATTAAAATTCATAGGTTATTAAATGATCTGTCAGTTTGTAATTATGTGTTGATTACGTTTTGTATTTAATTTTATTTATGTTCTACTTTAATTTTATTGTCATTTGTCAAGGTGGGAATGTTATCTTCAAGATTAACAATGTATCTGCAATGTGGAGCAATAAGGGAGACGTGTCACTGTTAGGAATATCTTTAATTAAGTGTCCAATATCTATCTTACGCTACTTACTTATAGGGTGAGGTGTCACATACATTACATATCAATGGACAGTTAGTAACAAGTTCTGAGTAAACTAGGATATTCTTAAGTTAAAAAAAATGTGTCGTCTGATGGTAAGCAACAACTGCGTTGCTGAACTTTAATGGTGTTATGGATATATCTTTACCTCACACGGCGAAACACAACATCAGCTTTTTGTGAGGCCGTGGTTAATTCGGTTGCGCCGACCTAATGCTGCCTAAACACAAGTCTTCTATGCCTAAAACTTCATATAACATATAACATAACATCACGCCTTTTATCCCCGAAGGGGTAGGCAGAGGTGCACATTACAGCACTTAATGCCACTGTAAAATGTAACACTAATTTTTCACTATTTATGTTATGAGTCTCATGTAATAGAGGGTGAGCCTATTGCCATATACCGGGCACATATAAATATTTTTTCGTTTCAAATTCCAGGCAAAGAATACCACGAGACCTGTTCAGGCCATGGTTTCTACATCCTGGGCCGCTGTAAATGCAACAAGATGTACTCGGGACCCCGCTGTCAGTTCAGTGACGAGTGTTCAGAGGACAATGACTGTGGTCTGCGAGGGAAGTGTATCGACGTCAACGCTACGGAGTCACCTACCAAGATGTGTTACTGTCCATATGGGTTCTATGGGAAAGGGTGTAATAAGAGTGAGTATTGAAATATATATATTTTTTTAAATTATTGTTTTATTTCTTTGGTAAACACTAGTATTTACGTTGGTACGTATACATAGCTCAGGTAATTAGTAAGCTGATGTGGGCGTTGGGCAGATCACATTTGACTGTGAGCTGATGATGGTTGGTGTGTGTGACGTGTCTTAGAATGAAGATCACGTGTTAGCACATGTAGTGTTGAATACCCTTCAGCTAAAGGGAGTTATGAAGTCTGCAAAGTGGCTGATAGATAGGATACGAATAGCTGTGCATACTAAAATCTGTTTTAAATAACAAGCGGTCACCGGTGACCGCAACCTATTGTTCTATAATTGCGTCTACAAAGACGGTACTCAACGAGTTAAACACATTTTTGCTATCCTATCTAATCTACTTCCTTACATAGCTAAAGACCTAAAAATTTATTATATATTCATCCCTAAAATTTACCCGTCGCAACCAAAATGATTATCAACATTTTCAAGCAAATAACAAATACTAAAATAATGTTTTACATCTCCAGAGGCGCCCTGGAAGGACAAGAACGTGAACCTGGGCCTGTACAGCAAGCGTGAGATGACGAAAAACTTCAACTTGTACTGGAGGATACTGAAGGAAGACGCTGAGATTGAGGTCATCATGATGGTCAATGGGACGTCGTATGCTGGTTCGTTATTGAAATATCTCATAGGATATTTAAATACACACACACTTCAGCTTAGGACGGGAGAAGGTGGCTGGGCAACTGGCTGCCGTGCAACGTGTCGCGGGTTTGATTCCCGCACGGAACAACACTTTGTGTGATCCACAAATTGTTGTTTCGGGTCTGACACCCAGACCAGATGTGTATGTGAACAAGTCTATAGTAGCTAGGTTTATAGTAGCCAATTTTTGATACACACTCTTAATCCTCATGAACATACACATTAAAACTCTTTAACATATATAATATATTAATGTATTACTTGTTTTATATAATTCTTTTAAGATCTTAAAATATTTAGTAATTGACTATTGATTTGCATAGATTTGTAGGTAGAAGTTATGGAGGCAAATTATTAGAGTTCCACAACTGTTTGCTCATTTTTATAAGCAAGGGGCTAAATGTGATCGAAACAATTTGAAAATAATATCCACAGAAACGTTGTATTGTAACATCAACTTAAACGAGTCGTGTTATAAAGTCTGGAATTATATTTCAGGTGTCGGTTGGCGACCTAACGGTTTGACGAAAGAGTGTAAGAACTTCCCCGTGCTGGGACCCGTGGTCGATGCAAAAGGTAACTTACTGTACAATTATTACTTACATCATTACATGCTTCCAAAAGACAATAATTGGACTGGACGGTTGGTGCGGTGGCTAGGCAACTGGCTGCCGTGCAACGTGTCGCGGGTTCGATTCCCGCACGAGACAACACTTCGTGTGATCCACAAATTGTTGTTCCGGGCCTGGGTGTCATGTGTATGTGAACTTGTATGTTTGTAAACGCACCCACGACACAAGAGAAAATCCTATTGTGGAGCAACTTTTTTTAAAAAAAAAAAAGTTTAGAATTTGTCATTTGTATACTAGGCAACTTAATAACTTGAATGTTGAAAAATAATTAATTACGCTATAGCATATTAAAGCAAACAAATAAAGTTTAGTTTTCTTAATATGTACTACTGTGAAACTTGGTTAAGTGGGACCTGGATAAGTGAGAAACCTCCATAACTGGAACTCATGTTGAGGTCCCAACACTTAACTGAATTACCTCTGTTAATGGGACAAGGTAAACCTCTATATCTGGGATTTGTTCTTTCGATTTATCATCTTAGTTACCTCTATAACTGAGACAGCGAGTAAATTTTATATGCACAAACCTCTGTAACTGAGATAACTTTGTTCATTTACTCATTCTTATTCTACCCACAAATTCCACACGTAATTCCAAGTCCACCTCTATTAATGGAACCCTCTGTAAATGAGACAGATTTATTTATACCTGTATATCTGAGACACTGGGTAAGTGGAATGCTCTATAAGTGAAACGACATTGCAGGTCCTTGATGTCTAACTTAACCAGGTTTCACTGTATAAATAACACCATTTGTTTGTAGTTTATAGCAGTAAAACGAATGTAAATCTCAAAATTTATATTTTCTAGTAACCACACAAAAAACAGAACCATTACCGGAGCCAGAGCCGAAAGCTGAACCAGAACCTAGCGCAGAACCGGAGCCCAGTCCAGAACCATCTTCGGAACCAGAACCTTCGCCGGAACCGAAATCAGAACCGGAACCGAAAACCGCACCCGAACCTAGCGCAGAACCAGAACCGACAACAAAACCGGAACCGTCTGCAGAACCAGAACCGAATCCGGAACCGGAGCCAAGTGTACAGCCAGAACCGGAACCGACAAAAGTGCCAGAGAATGACAATAGGAATAAGAGAGTTGCTATGCACTCGCTTGACGGGTTTGACTTCAAAAACCTTGGCAACGACGGCGAAGTCACGGTGAAAACTAGTGTATCGTACCAGGTGTCTAGTTCTAAGGGTGAGATTATTTATTTATTCAATTTAGCTTAGTAAATAATATTTAAATTCAGGTTAATATAGGATGTTTGGTGACCTTTCGTAAAGTAAATGAATTAGAAATCTGATATTTGTAATTGCAGATTATATTATCAAATACTTAGAATTTGTAACAGGCCCAGGAAGATTTGATGATGTTGACGATTGTTAAAACCGTTTATTTTTTATGGAATATATGGAGTAAATGACCATACGGATCCCCTGATGGTAAACAATCGGCGCTGCTCTAGACATTCGAAATACCAGAGGTGTTGAAACAATTGCGTTATCGGCCTTTTAGGCTTTAAGAATTCGAGGATTACCGGGGAGATTGAGGAGGGAGGTAACCGGGCCTCCGGTACCTTCACTCAAACGAAGAAACACAACGCAAGTGTTGCTTTCTGTGAGGGTTTTCGTCGGTTTTCTGTGAGGTCCATTCTTGTGGAAGCATGGCTCTCTCACACTTGAAACACGTCAATCATTTGATACCTAGCAAATACCCAAACATAATTACTTTGATATTCGAAGCTTCAAACGCTTCTGCCGAAGGCAAATCCTCTGCTAACTATGGCCCCTATGTGATGTATAAAATTTTGATAAAACCCTAACAAATGTTAAATTTAATTCCAGGTCGTAAGAAGCGCACAGTAACGGAACCCACGGGTAAGTGTATCCCAGCTAGCACTACTAACCACTGCACCACACGTCGTCGACGCTGACAGCAACACTCGCCACACAGCACATACACCTATACTTATTGACTTATACCATAGTTACAGCAAAACGCCAACATACTAACTAACGGCAATATTTTATTTAATGTTTCAACGCTGCCTGATATGAAAATAAAACAAAATATATTGTCTAAAACGAAATGCTGAAAGCCATCTACTTTTTCTATGATGACGCATCGCATCTTATTGATAGGCGTCGATGTGTTCTGAATGGAATACAAAAAATATACTCTATCTAGTTTAAAGAGTATAACAATTGAAGGTTTCACATAAAAAAATGGTAATATGGTGTTCTTATTGCACACGATTTTAAACATCGTCGATAATACACATTATTCTATATCTATGTCTATATTATTTCACTCTCGATTCTTTAAATGAATGCCTATCTCTCTTTCTGCTGTCAGACCTATTTAATGCAGTTCATATTTATGTAAAATATAAAATACTACTGTTAATAACATCACTGAATCTTCTTGTCTCTCATTACAACTTCACTTACAACTAAGACAGAGCGCCCCATCAATCTTTTCAAAGATGATCTGGCGTGCTTGCAATTTTTTGATGCCATTTTTTTGCCTAAAACTAAAGCCTTCTATCAGGTAGCGACGAAACAAGCTGTTCTGTATATATGATGCTGCATGACCAATTTATTTTACAGATTCGGATACAACGACCACTCATATGTCCCCTAAACACTCCGTTGTATCCACTGAACCGTCAGCTTCTCCCGAACCTATTTCCCAATCAAGTCCCGTACCCACTGTCAAACCAAAACCAAAACCTACCAGACCAAAGTTCAAACCAAAGTCTAAATTGTTAGCTGAACTTACAACTACACCTCAACCCAGCCCTGAGCCGACGACGGTGGCAGAACCTAGTTCTGTCCCAGAACCTACTACTGTACCTGAACCTAAAATAGAACCGGAACCGAAATCCGAACCCGAACCTAGTACACAACCTGAACCTAGTTCTAGTCCGGAGCCGGTGTCCAGCCCTGAACCTGCTCCCGAACCTACTAGTGAACCTGAACCTACCCCAGAACCGAAATCTCAGCCAGAACCTACTCCTGAACCTAGTTCAACTCCAGAACCCAGTTCTAAACCTGAACCTAGTTCTCAACCCAAACCCAGTTCCCAACCAGAACCAAGATCACTCCCAGAACCTAGTACCAAACCAGAACCGAGTCCGGAACCAACTCCAGAACCTAAAACCGAACCCGAACCTAAATCCGAACCAGAACCGAAATCCGAACCAGAGCCTAAATCCGAACCAGAGCCTAAATCTGAACCAGAGCCTAAATCTGAACCAGAGCCTAAATCTGAACCAGAGCCTAAATCTGAACCAGAGCCTAAATCCGAACCCGAACCCAAATCTGAACCAGAGCCTAAATCCGAACCAGAGCCTAAATCCGAACCAGAGCCTAAATCCGAACCCGAACCCAAATCTGAACCAGAGCCTAAATCTGAACCCGAACCCAAATCTGAACCAGAACCTAAATCTATACCAGAACCGAAATCCGAACCTGAACCTAGCTCGGAACCGGAACCTACAACGGAACCGGAACCGAAACCTAGTCCCGAACCTCATCCCGAACCCGAACCCACCGCAGCATTGGAACCTGAGACATTGCTAGTGAAGGGACTTAAAGACGAAGCAGGTAACGCCACTAGCTTTGCACTATATTACACGCTCATTGGTATAGCTAGATATTTTGATAATTTTCTTGGCTCCTAAAAATAATACCTAAAAATTTTTGGTACCTTTCAAATATGAAAACTCTTAAATTAAAAAGGTGTAATTATTTTACAAAAAAATAAACATTTGAGTTGAAAAACTGAAACTTTAATTTTAAATAGACGTACCATAAAAACATACATATATTTTTTTAGATCTTCTCTTTTATTACGATTGTTTTTTTTAAATGTAGTAGTATAGTATAAATGAATCAGAATTTTAACCTTTCTAAAACGCGCTTTAAAGAGCTGACCCAGGCGATACACAATTTATTTTGTTCTTGTGTCTTATAACCAGTGATCGGAAAAAGGTGAGCTAATTTACCTAAACTTACTACCTTTTTTTTGGGAAAGTTCCGGTTCCAGTTTCGGGATATTTATATATTACATTTAATATAATTGTTATTAATACAGAAAACAATTGATTTCGTTTCGAGATTTTATTTCTTAAATTTAACACAAAACCAAACAAAATTAAAACTTTTTGTTTTCAACAATAAATATTTTAAGATGTAATAAAGAGCATAAAATAAAATTATTCAACACCAAAATTAACAAAAACCTAAAATCATGACAAAAGCTAGAAAGAAACCGCAACTTTTCCAATATCCCGAAACTGGAACCGGAACTTTCCCGAAAAAAATGTTGTAGTAAGGAAGTCTCCACTATTTGTTTTTGTTCCTTGAAGTTTAGGTAAATTAGCTCACCTTTTTCCGATCACTGCTCATAACAGTGCATTCAAGTGGTTAAACATTTAAAATACGGTAGTTGACAACTAGTCAAATTCAATACTTTTATTGAAATGTCAAAAACGATACTTTTCTATGAATTTTGTATTGGATCGCAAGTTATGACGTCATCATATTTCTGCGTCAAACAGCACACTTATTTCCTTAAAATTAGCAAGAAATAATTCAAAAGTAGGTAGATTGTCAAATCAATGGATGAGAGTATGATATTTTTTTTATTATTTATTGCATTGAAAAGTTGAAATGATTTATTATAAACCTAGGAAACTAGCCAATTATTAAAGTACATAGTTGGTATGGTATAATAGTTTTAGTTAATTGTCTATACCAATGAACGTGTATGTACATATGAAATAGATATATTTGTATAGCAATTTGCAGCACTTGTCAATAATGATGTAATTTAACATTGATTGTTAACATTAACAAAACATTACAATATGCTTGGTTTTATATGAATGTGTGATTACTGATTACCTGACAGATGATTGAAAGCAAAGATCGATGAATGAGATATTTTTAACGTATAAATTGGAGACTAAAATTAGTATAATTCAAAGAGAATTTTGTTCAAAAGTGAAGAAAAATCAACGTTGTTTATGACTGTAAGCTCTGGTACCATAAAACGGAGTGAATAGAATTCGAGGGGTGAATAGATACAGTAAAGGGGTGAATAAATGTTAGAATATTTATTCACCCCTCTTATGTATCTAATCTATTCACCCCGTTTTACTGTTAGCGACTGGAAACTAGTCAGTACTTTTGAAATGCTACATTCTCACTCTAAGCAAGCATTATTTGAAAATAATAATGTATTTGCTACTTAATTGATTTATTGAAGAAATAAATGTGAATGTGTGTGTTACGAAGACACTATACATATTTAATTTTATTGTTTTGTTTCGTCTTCAAATATCTAGAATGATGCCATTGTTATAAATTGACAGTCTCCAATTTAGACGTCCCTTCTAATCTTGCCTCTCTATATATATACTTATTTCTTATGAATTATCTCACTTTATCTTCATCTTAAACTCTTGCATGTTCTTTCATAATATTTGCTTAAATTTTCTGCTTTAATATTTTCTAAGCTTTGCCGGGCTTTGGGTGCTACCACGAATTCAGTCCTTATCCCCTATTCCTTTAATTCCAAATTACTTCAACACTTACTTGTTTTATTAACGGCCGGTTTCCAAAACCTATCTGTGGGTAGATTCGCTTCCTATAGATATAATTTTGGTATAAACTCCTCATAATTTCTATCTCTAGAGAGTCAAATCTGTTGACAGATTGATTGTTCTTGGGCTGGCTGTTAATCTTCTTTCGGGTCGGTTTTTCCAACGCCAGATAAATTTTAACTGAGGTATAACTTTAAATATTTGACAATTGTTCCGTACTAAAACCTGTCAAATATTAATTTTATTCGACAGTTACAAACTAACTGATGATTGAAAAATCGGGCCTTAGAATACTACAAAATGTTCTTCAAAACATGTTCTAAATATCTTGATCGCTATCGTTCAATAATTGAATTGAATGAGATTCAAATATGTAGTTCATTCAGTAATGAGTGACAGAAAAAGTGAATACCTACTGTTTTAAACTTCTAAGGTCTTAGTATGAGTTTGTTTTGCGTAGTTATCTAAACGAGTACGCGTTCGGCGCTCTCATTGGCCGGCTCCATTGAACCAACCAATTAGAGCGCAGCACGCGGTCTCGTACTGAGCCCCCTGAGCGCGTTATTTAGAAACGTATTTTATTATCTACCTATTTTATTGTTTTCCTATTTTTTTTTAATTTTCTTTTTATCTTTTGTACCTAATCTTTTAGTATTTATTAAAACTGTTCTAATTTCTTGTTTCTGTGTGTGAATGAGTATTAATACTGGGTTTGTCATTAAATATGTTGGGACGATGTGAAAAACAAAATATTTGGGTGAAGTTGGTTAAACCATGGTGGTCATGACAAGAAGAGTTAATGTTTGATGGAGGGGGAGATTCTGGGTGTTGTAAATTTTTTTGTTATGTTAACTAATTTGGTTTAAATACTGAAATGTTTTTGTATAGATTCTTTGTCTAAAGTTATTCAGGTAGTTGTTTGAGTTATTTCTCTGTTCGAAAGTGTCTGAATTGATTTTATTGAACTTTCTTATTTTAGTATCATTCTAAACCTTTTTTAACATTAATATGCTTCAGATATAATTTCTTTTTGTATCTTAATTAGATTGTTTCGAGTTAACTTTGTTAAAAAACTCAATGAAGTTTACCTTTCAAGTATTTCGATAAATGTTTATCTTCTTTAGTCTTCCACTAAGAATTACTAAGTCTTTAAACATACATTAGGTACAACCATCTCCCATATATATTCAAGGACAAATATATATAACTGAAACTTAAACATTTTAGGTTACTTCCCCGCCCACGAATACGTACCGAAGTTCGACTTCAACCCGATGGACTGCACCGACATCGTGATAGGAACCGCTAAGGGCAACTACCACAGAGTGCTCGACTATTACACCAGAGACAGGTGAGAATGTACCTACACCATATTTTCATTTACTTTTGATTTTATTGAAAAATCTTTACCCAATTGAAAGAGAGATCAATTTGGCACTTGTCCATGAAAATTTGACTTGTTCTTGTTGACTACACCGTTGGCGCAGTGGCGGCGCTGGACACGGCTGCCGCAACATGTCACGCTTTCGTTTCCCGCACCGAACAACTCTTTTTGTGAATAATAATCCACAGATTTTTGTTTCGAGTCTGGGTGTCATGTGTATGTGAACTTGTATGTTTGTAAAAGTATCCTCGACACAGGAATGAATCCTAGTATGAGGCAAAATTAAAGAATCTAGAGTTTTCTAGGTGACTTTATGAGATTAAAAAAGTCCAACTAAATACTTTACCATGATTAAACAAATGTTTTTGGTTTATTAGAAGATGTCGTACTGATTTAGGTAGGATTAACAGAAAATGGGTATAACATACCTACGTACGTACTACATGATAAAAAAACTACTAGAGATATGTGCAAAATAATATCAAAGGTTTTTAATACTTCAATTCTGCGTACCTACATTAAAGATTATATTCATTTATCAAACGCCTAGTTTTATCAATGTTGTTGTTTCAGGTCAACGCCCCGTGTAGACACGTTCTGGGGTGGACACGATGACATCACCGCCGCGTCCGGCTACGAGGAGAACGGAGTCACCACCATCATGTTTAGGAAGAAGATTAAGGTAACCTATTGTTTTCAGTTACCCCCAACTTTGGTCTTTGACAAATTGTCAAAATGCACCAGTCCATAGTTAGACAGCGGGCCAAGTATCGCAGTATCTTAGAAGTTCGATTTATCGGAGATTCAAATACAAATTCAAAATTTCAAATTCTTCATTATCAAATTAAGTAAAAACGCGGGTTACTCACGTGAATATACTGAGAAAAGCTCTACTAGTTTCGAACCACAGAGGGGTTCTTCCTCATGAGCAGCGTGCGCGGTCGCGACGACGTCGCGCAGCTCACTGTCTTCATTATCTTAAGAATTACACTATCTGTCTAACATTGAGGCAGTTTCAGTAAGTTATTATACAATACTTGTGTTGGGACTGACTCGATCCTTTCTATGGAGATAATATGAAACAATCGAGAAAATATTATCATTAAAAAATAGGCGTCGCCGCTGGTTGGGAGGCCACAACCGTGCGCTTCCCACGTAGCTTTCTGCCTCACACTGCAAATCTGTGGAATGATCTGTCGTCGGCGGTATTTCCGAACCAATACGACCTTCAAACCTTCAAGAAAAGAGCGTATTCCTTTTTAAAAGACCGGCAACGCACCTGTGGCTGCTCTGGTGTTGCGGGTCTCCATGGGCGGCGCTGATCGCTTACCATCAGGTGATCCGTCAGCTCGTTTGCCCCCTATTTCATAAAAAAGGCTTACACAGCACTTTAACACTGGAGTGTGAAATAAATTCAAATCGCTGCTGACGTTTGTGATAAAGCCGCAAAGAATTGTAAGTGGGCTGGTTTGAATAAGTAATAAATATAAAATTTAGAATAATTAAATTATTGCATTAATTAAATAATATTATTTTGTACGTAGAGTAAGTACTTTTGCGGTGCCCAAAAGGGCCTATACTTGGAATTTGTAAACCACCCTGTACACACTATAGATGCATTAAAGTGATTTGAATTTGAACTTTATATTGATTGTTTGTTAAAACCAACCATTATATATTCCAGGCTAAAGAGCCAACAGACCATTCAATAGTGGACGACAATATGCACGTGATCTGGGCCCGCGGTCAAGAGCCGGGCAAGTACGTCCACTCCCCTCCCTCGGGGCTCGAGCGAGGCACCGCGTCTGTTGGAGACTTCTACAGACCTGACGAACTGAAGTACCATGGACATGGATCACAGAGAGGCGTTGCTACTATTAACTTCTTCGGTAAGAATAAACTATTATTAAATTCAATCCTCCAATTTCTAATTGCAAATCTCAAACATCCGATCTCCAATGTCCAATCTCCAATCTTTAATCTCCCATCTCCCATCTCCAATCTCAAATATAAAATCCTAATCCCCAATCTTCAATCTCCAATCTCGAAATACTCAATGCGCTATCTACGTAACGCACTAGTAACACCTCTGGTGTTGCGGGTGTCCATGGGCGACGCCGATTGCTTACCATCAGGTAATCCATCTGCTGGTTTGCCATAAAAATAAATAGCATAATGTTGTACTGATTATGTACATTGAAAAGTAATCGGTACCGACTTTAGGCTCTAGAAACCGGTATTCAGAACAAGTAATTCGATATCCTAACTGGAACCGTAACCGAAACCGTATCGAAAAGAGGAACTTAAACCGTAGTAGGTAACAGTATTCAATCTCTAGTCAACAGACAAGGTATGGGCTGACTTAGGTGATAGAATATTAATATAGAATTAGTATAGAATAGTATTTTTATCCCGATTAAATGCTCCCATAGAATAAAACAAGAATCATAATCTACGCGGACAAAGTCGCGGAGAACAGCTAGTCTCCAATAAATGTCTAATATTTAATATCCATTCAAAATATCACTTTATCTTTATCTCTAACTAAAAATCAACAACAATGTTCCAGAGGAGACAAAAGTATCAATATCAGGTGGCATTCTCCCCCTTGCTGACAAATGTGGCGGGCAATGGCGTCTCCCAGCAGACTGCGACCCAGCCAACAAGACGTGTGACTATGTCGCTACTTGGGAGTATCTCGGACAGAAACGAGGCAAGGACTCCGTACGATTCACTATATCTACCAAACAGACGAAGCATTGGACCGGGATTGGGTTCAGCGATAATAAAAAGATGGTAAGTTGACAGAACAATTGTAAGTTTTAAGTTTTAATCCTCCTAATCCCAAAAGGCTGGTAACGCACTTGCAATGCCTCTGGTGTTCCAGGTGTCTATTGGCTACCTCGATTACTTACTTACGTCGATTATACCCTAACAATCGATGCAATAAAAGTACAGGGTGCAACTTTTACAGATTTTAGTCGGCTCGATTACCGTGTGCGACAAGCTAATTTAAAAAAATCACAGAATGCAGTTTTCTTTCTTTAAAAAAATGAAGGAATGTTTTCTTTGAGTAAAATTTTCTATCTAGAGTATTAAGAGTCAGGTGCCATTACAAAATTCCAACCTGTATCTATAAAACGCAATTCCATGCGACCCGTTCCCCGACTTTAAATCGGCAGTAATTTATTTTTCCATAATTATTGTTGTGCCATATTCTTTTCTCTTTTTAGTTGGTCTCTTTCTACTATATTGGTTTTCGCTTAGTTAAATTTTTATCTCAAAGGAGTTTGTATACCTACCTATTTATTTATTTATTCTTTTATGTACAAAATTTTATTATGGCACATAGGGCCTATCTACTTATATGAAAAATGTTCCCACTATTTTCAAGTACAATAATTTGTATTAAATAAGAGGCGGCGATAATTTGAATTTAGAAAGAGTACACGATATATTTCTGGTCTTGTCATTTTGTGTCTGACGTCACTGACGTGTCATTTGTTTTTTTTTATTTGTTCTAAAGGCGACAATAACTTGGATTTAGAACGAGTACACGATATATTTCTGGCCTTGTCATTTTGTGTCTGACGTCATTGACGTGTCATTTGTTTTGTATAATTTGTTCTACTAGAGGCGGCAATAACTTAGATATAGAAAGAGAAGAAGATATATTACTGGCCTTGTCATTTTGTGTCTGACGTCACTGACGTGTCATTTGTTTTTTATTGCAATGTTCTAAAGGCGGCAATAATTTGAATTTAGAAAGAGCACACAATATATTTCTGGTCTTGTCATTTTGTGTCTGACGTCACTGACGTGTCATTTGTTTTTATTTTGCACTAGCTGACCCGGTGAACAGTTATAATGACGTAACTGTTCCATATCACAAACCAATGGCACTAAGAGCAGTTTGTATGAGTAAACGAAAGTGACGATTTTAGTAATTTTCTTTGCATATTTTCACTTTTTGAACCTAAACTTTTGCAAATATTTAAAGGTCAAAATCACGGTTAATTTTAGGTAAATTATTCCGCTTTATTAGGCCGATATGTAATGAACTATGTAATAAAGTCTACGAATCATAATTACACACACAGAATTACACTACTGTATCATCGTGAAATGTAGATAAGATGACCATACAATATTACGGTACAATTGAACTGGTCTCATGAGTGAATTGGAAGGTGGGTGATGGAACCTTGGACTCTCTACTAGTCTGTTGGCGGTTCTTCTAATAAAGACGTTATAATATTATGATTATGACTGCCCGGTTGACGCAGTGGCTGGGAAACCAAATGCCGCGCAACGTGTTAGCAGCTTCGATTCCCGCACTGAGCAACTCTTTGTGCTATCCACAAATTGTTGTTCTGAGTGCGGGTGTCATGTGTATGTGAACTTGTATGTTTGTTAACGCACCCACGACACAGGAGAAAATCCCAGTGTGGGGCAACGTTTTATTTAAATGAAAAATAAGAAAAAAGGTTCAAAGTCAATTTTAAGTTATTTTTAAATGCGAATTTACTTATAATTTTCAACATTTTTTATTACAAAGTCAAAGTTAAAGAATTCAAAATTATTTATTTCAATTGGACCAGGAAGACACTTTTGAACGTCAACAATTTATATTCAACTAGCGACCCGCCCCGGCTTCGCACGGGTGCAATATGTATATACATACAAACCTTCCTTAAGAATCACTCTATCTATTAAAAAAAACCGCATCAAAATCCGTTGCGTAGTTTTAAAGATCTAAGCATACATACGGACATACAGCGAAAGCGACTTTGTTTTATACTATGTATTGATGTTCTTTAATTCAATTCAATATTCAAATTCTAAACAAATTCTTTTTATCTCTTTTCCAGTCTCAATCCGACGCTATAATAGGCTGGGTGGACGCTAGATCAGGTCGTCCATTCATGATGGATACCTGGGTGTCTGGGTACTCTGCACCGCGCGTCGACCCTCGACAGGACCTGGCGCAGGAAGCCGGCAGCACGGTCGATGGAATCACCACGCTTAGCTTCGTTAGGAAACGGAATACTGGGGATCAGAAGGTAATATTGTACATATTTTGATTTATAAAGTACTTTACTAGAAGGGGGCCTCACAATGACCAATGCTAAGTGTGGAGGAGCCATGCTTCGGCACGAATAAGCCGGCTTGACCGGAGTGATACCACGGCCTCATACAAAACCGACATGAAACAACGCTTGCGTTGTGTTTCGTCGTGTGAGTGAGGTTACCGGAGGCACAATTACTCGCCCCCTTCCTCAATCTCCCCAATCCCTGACTACCCAACGATCATCAAACTCCTAATCCCCAAAAGGCCGGTAACGCACTTGTAATAAATTGTAATGCCTCTGGTGTTACGGAGAGCGCCGATTGCTTACAATCAGGTGATCCGTCTGCTCGTTTACCGACTTATACCATAAAAGATGACACCCAAATCGTCTAAAATCTGACTCGTGTTTGTGTACGCGACAAATAGAAAAGTCGACAGTGAATAGAAAGAAGTGGGTCCCTGTAATATGGGCCGATTTTTCCAACGGTAGATGAATTCTATCAGAGGAATAAATTTGATTTAAATATTTGTTGACAATTCTTTTCTATACTGAAAACTGTCAATTGACAATTTTATTCTATAGTTAAGAATTATCTGTTGATTAATTTAATTTTTACCGACTTCAAAAAAGGAGGAGGTACTATGTTCGGATGATTGTTTTTTATCTTTTAGTTAAGTATAGTGTATATTAATTTGTACATATTTATTTAATTTTTCATTTAAATTAAAAATAAAACACGTATGTATCGAAATAATAAGTAATCTGTTGATTGAAAAATCGGCCGTAAAATAACTATGCTCACTAATAAGTGAAAGTAGGTACTTACCACAAAAAATACAAGAAATTGCATTTACCTTTAAATGATAAAAAAAAAATATTAAAAATAAATATGTAAAATTTTTGTCAGTAATTATTCCATTATAATACTAAAGTAAAAACATAAGAAAAATGTAGCAAAAACATATGCGTCGGCCGGGAATCGAACCCGGATCAACTGCTTGGAAGGCAACTATGCTGACCATTACACCACCGACGCATGTGAAGAACGTTTCAAAATAAGTGTACAGTATCAACATAGACTAAGTAAATAATAATTTTATTCAGATTTGTATGATTAGATTTGAAATTATTATTTGAGTTGAATACATTGACCCGATGAATCTGTTAGTAATAATATTACATACAAAACAAATTTAATTATTACTCTATCGTGGGACAACTTTAATTAATTAAAATTAATTATAAGATACAACTGTGTGGTAAATGGCTTAGTCTATACTAATATTATAAAGAGGAAAGATTTGTACCTATTTTTATATGTTTGTAATGAATAGTCTCAAATACTACTGGGCCGATTTAAAAAATTCTTTCACCAATAGAATGCTACATTCTTCCAATTTGACAGGATAAATTTCATTTTGAAAAAAATTAGGGATCCTTGGTAAAATTTGAGCAATGTAACCGAAGGTGTAGAAAAATGAGTCTTATAATATCTTTCGTCGTATGCGCTGCTGAAACTATTAGCGATAGAACAAAATAATGTACAACAATATTGAAGAACATCATAATGTCTACAAAAAACTCCGCGGTAGCATATGTCCAACTATTGTAGTTATGTCACTACAACAATCCAAATTTCCAAAAATAAATAATTGTCTACCCCGTGCGAAGCCGGGACGGGCTGCTAGTACAATATATTTATGGACCGTCGCTCCTCCTCCTGCGGGTATCGTATGACCCGATTAAGGAACAATACATTTTGTCAGAGACTAGGCGGGAAAGGTGCATCAGCAATTAATTAAAATAACAAGTATTGGTGCGGATGCAACATCAGCGATCCTCATATAGTGGCTGTATTTCATTTGCTCAATCGTAGACGCATCATCGCTTACCTATGTAAGAATATACACAGTTGTTTCCTAAAATATCTAGACTACGATCTATCTAAATCAAGTTCCCAAACATAGGGCCTTTAGAATACTAAATTGTTAACAATATGAAAAATAGAACACAGAACAGTTGATTAAAGCGTTAATCTACTGACAAGGCCCACTAAAAATTCGCTTGCGATTCACCAATGGATCGCGACCACACCGCGACTAGGAAACCCTGACCGACACTAATCTAACATAACATAACATCACACCTTTTATCCTCGAAGGGGTAGGCAGAGGTGCACATTATACACTGTATAATGTAACACACACTTTTCACTATTTATGTTATAAGTCCTATGTAATAGGGGGTGAGCCTATTGCCATATACCAGACACAATTCCAGACTAAGTGCTACTACTGAGAATATTTAAAAACCCAGTAATACTTTGCCCGATCCGGGAATCGAACCCCTTACCCGGAATACTGGGGATCAGATGGTAATATTGTACATATTTTCATTTATATAGTACTTTACTAGAAGGGGGGGGCATAAACTCACAATGACCATTGCTAAGTGTGGAGGAGCCAGGCTTCGGCACGAATAAGCCGGCTTGACCGGAGTGATACCACGGCCGAGCAGAAAACCGGCCTTACAGAATATATACCCCTTACCCGGCAGTTGCAAATGCGACCACTCGGCCAACGAGGCAGTCACTAACTAATCTATTAACATTATATTTCCAGGACCTCGGCTTCACAGACTCCCAGTGTCTGTACATGATGTTCATCACTCACGGCGGCGGGTTCGACCCGGTCAACAAGCGCACTAGCAAACACATGCAGACTCCAATCGTTACTGACGAGAGAGTCTGCATCAAACCCTGTGGGCCTGGTTAGTATAATAGGCTAGATTACTATATTTTATTTTAATGTCCGTCGGGTAGGGTATTTTAAATCATTAGACACGTATTTTTTATTTTCTTACAGCAACAAAACTTCCGTGACGTCACTTCTATGTACATTTTATACGTAGAAATGACGTTTTAGCCCCCACTCCAAAATTTTGATTCGTTATAATATCTAAGTAGGTATCATTTTATAATAGACCAAAAGAAAAAAATACTAAAAAGTCTAATATTTTTTCATTACCTAACTGACGGACTCATTAGATTTTTAATTTTAATTTTCATAACCTATCATCATCCCAATTATGTAATGTACGGGTGCCAGTAGGTCAACTTATCCTTTTTTGTCTATTACATCTTCAAATTTATTGTTTTGACATAAAGACGAAAATCCAATGAATTTTCATAGATTGGTGAAGGTTGATTTAGGCCACTGTACTAATTTTATTTTCTTTCATATTGGCATTTTATTAATTAGTTCTGAGGTTGGAACTTAAAGTCAAAGTCACAGTCAAAATCATTTATTTCAATTAGACCAGGATGGCACTTTTGAACGTCAAACAACAAAAATTATAAGTGATCTTAACCTCGTATCCACTAAAGAATTATCATTAAATTCACAACACATCATTATGTTATTAGTTTCGTATAAAATGTCGCTAATATACCTATCTTCTGATTCACTTCGTTGCGGGATCCAAGACAATAGGCGTGTCGACAGGGTAAAAAAATCAAAAAAGTAATTAGTCCGTCATTAAGATCGCACGAAAATATCAGACACGTATTTTTTGTTTTATCAAATTAACAGAAGAATACGTAGTTATTCCGCATTAAAGTTAGGGAGTGGGGGGTGTTGACGTCACACTTACGGAGAAATCGTACCTAAGTGTGACGTCACGCGTCATTTTAACTCAAAATATCTACATGTTTTTTTGGATACGAGAAAAAAGAAAAAATACGTATCGAAGATTTTTAAAATATCTAAAAGACGGACAAAAAATTAAAAAATAGTCGCCATGCGTATTGTGTACGTGCCAACTAGTCAAATTCAATACTATTTTCGAACCTTCAAAAAACGACAGTTTTCTATGAATTTTGTACGAGATTGTGTATTGTGACGTCACGTTTTTGATTTAATGAAAGTGTGATTGCTTTTTTTTATATTTTATTGTATTGAACAGTCAATATAATTTATTTTTGATTAAGGAAAGTTCCCTATTATTCATGTCCCTGAGACGCGATGACTTCAGTGTTCCGGTGGTTTCATGGTTGTATCTACTGTAGATCCTGGCTTACAGGAATTGCAGCGGTTTTGGGAGGTTGTGGCAGGCTTGTCCTATTAAAGAATAATGACATCATCAGCATCATACCTGGGTGCTTACTCTTGAAACCAATCTCAATGTCAATGCAATTCAATCCAATAAAACCGCAATAATTATTCAACATCAAAACTATAGAACCCCTATCGTAGTTGTTAAAATAGCAATCAGAGTACGGAATATAAAGCCGAATTCAATACTATTTAGTTCATTCAATATCCACGCAATACGAATACAATGGGCGCTAGTGTTGCAATTCAAGAGTACGAAATTTCACAATACCAATGTCGACCGATCGTAAGCCCCCTATTTGCGTCGATACACATCACTAACCACTTCAAAAAATAATAAACTAAACCAACATAATATATTCTACAGAACCAATAGAAGAAGAAATAACAACGGAGCCAGTGATACCCGGACAGGAGTCGTATACGATGTTGATCCGTATCACGGGCCTGGCAGACAGCTACAAGCCGCCGGCGGCCGGCAGCAAGGAGTTCGACGAGCTCAGTAAGACGGTCGCTGACAGCCTCGCCGCCGAACTTGGGAAGAATAAGGGATACCACGCTGTACTTGTTAACGGGTTTATGCAGTAAGTGACATTACAACCACGTCTTTTAAATAAAGAGAAAGAAAGAAAAACTCTCTCTGCAACAACAATATGACTGCTCGTTGGCCGAGTGGTCGCAAGTGCGACTATGGGGCAAATAATCACTGGGTTTTTTAAAAAAAATCTCAGTAGTAGCACTAAGTCTGGAAATGTGCCCGGTATATGGCAATAGGCTCACCCCCTATTACATGGGACTCATAACATAAATAGTGAAAAGTGGGTATTACATTGTACAGTGGCATTAAGTGACAAAATGTGCACCTCTGCCTACCCCTTCGGGGATCAAAAGCCGTGATGCTATGTTATGTTACAAATCTACAACTCAGTCGAAACACTTTTATTTTAGTTTAGACTATCATCATATCTTCAACTCCCAATTCCCTTTCAGAAACGAAACAAAAGCGATCATAGCAGAATTGACGCTGAAATCAATAGAATCCAACTCTATCGAGGGCTCGACTGGACGAGCCCTGTCTAGTGCCAACAGTACGGACGGCGCGGGGGGGGGCGCGGCGCGCTGGGAGCGGGCCGTGCGGGACACGCTCGCACTCGGCCGCGTCGGGAACCTCAATGTCGATCCTGAGTTCTTGGTCTTTGAGCCACAGAGTTGTGAGTACTATGAATTATTTATGTCTATCCTAGTTCATACGAAGAACCTTATTCCCGTCTATATGTCGCGGAGAACCTAACGGGTAACCGGGGCTCCGGCTCGACGTGTAGGAGAAGGAACGGGGTGGTTTTTAGTCAGTAAGAGTCTGACACTCCCTCCCGCCTCACCCAGGCGGGAGCAGTAATTCGATGATTTTCCCCCCTTAAAAAAAAAAATCCCGTCTATATGCAAGTTGCCGGTACGATTAGTGCGGTGGATGGAGAACCGGCTGCCGCGCAACGTTTCTTGGTTTCGATTCTCGCACGGAGCAACTCTTTGTGTGATCCACAAATTGTTGTTACGGGTCTGAGTGTCATGTGTATGTGAACTTGTATGTTTGTAAACGCACCCACGACACAGGAGAAAATCCTAGTGTGGGGCAACGTTTATTTAAAAAAAAACTTTATAAACTTTAAGTTAATTTTTTAAGGAGTAAAACAGGCCTTTTTATTCTCGTTAGTATTTTTTAAAGATCGCCACTTAATTAAGAGGTACGTATATACCATAGGCATATAATGATTTATGATTATACTCTTCTTGTGTATATCCCAAATTACAAGATGTTTTATCATTCTCCCTAAATGCATCCCTTCTTATGACAAAAAGTCGTAACACCCATGACCTAGGAAACAAAATTATTCCAAAACCAACTCTAACCCCCAGATAATAACACACAAATCTCTTTACAGTACTATCAGAGCGTCCAACAGAGGAAACTACGGGCAATGCGCGCGTGTTCTTCGGTCTCGCAGAAACCAAACTGTACGTCGTGGTCGGCTGCGTGGCGGCGCTCGTACTGGTCGCGCTCCTGCAGGCCGCCTGCACCGTCTACCGGACCAGGAGCAACGCTGTACAGACTAAGGTGAGACAGGTATATGACCACCGCTATTCTCGTCGTGGATGCCGTAAAATACTACTACATATTTGACTGACGCCGGGCAGTTGAATCTGCACCGTTTAAAATGCGATCCAACCCTACCTGACTGCCTGCTAGTTAGATCCGAGAATCGAACCTGAGACCCATTACCCGGCAGTCGCATTTGCGACCACGTGGCTAACGAGGCATTCATATCGAAATCAGTACGTTAGGACTATCTGGTAGCGAAACGGAGTTCGCCGGGTTTGCTAGTTTTCAATACAATAGATAACGAAAAACTAATAACCAATTAATTTATCTTTCCAGGATCAACTAATTCCAAACTCAGCCTGGAAAGACTATTCATCAGCAAACACAAACTACGCATTCGAACCATTTGAAAACGACGACAAATATAACAGTACCACATCAACAGCTCCATTACGTCACAGACAGACCCCGCTAAGACCCACAGACCCGCCCCCACCCCGCCCCGGCAGTGCCAACAAAACCCCAACAAAACCCAAGTCAAACGGGGTCAATGGGCAACATGGGGTCAATGGCCAACACGGGGTCGTTGGACAACATGGGGTCAATGGTCACGACATGAGACATGGGGTCAATGGACACGGTACTAATGGCCGAATGACCCCGAAGCACCAGAATAGTGCGGCGCAGTACTATCATGAGACTAGGTCGTTGCAGCGGCCTAGGGGAGGGGGACAGTATGGGTGAGTTTATTTTAGTTTTACTTTTTTAACACATTAAAAGCTGTGGGTGATTGTGACCGACGTTAGCGGAGAATATCTATTGGCAGTCAAAGCCTTTACCGACTTCCCAAAAAGAAGGAGGTTCTCAAATCGGCAGGTATGTATTTTTTTATATTACGGCGAGGTTTATTGATCGATTTGCGTGATAATATTTTTGTTCAACGCGAAATGTCTGAAATTTTGTCCCATAATTTGTTTTTATATGGACAGAGGTGAATGCAATAGTTAATCATTTTCATTGTCATAATCATTATTGAACGAGTTCGACATTGACTTATTTTATTACAGACTCAGTGCTAGGGAGGTATATTGCGAATTTGGCGAACAGAAAGCCAACTTGTTTGTTATGGTAAAATTTATTGACAGAACACATTTGCACTCTATTTTTGACAGTCGTATAACTAAATCATGGTAAATAATAGCGTTTGGTTGGCTCAGATCACACCACGATATAAAACATTAGACTATTAAAAGCATGCATCGACATAATCTAGTTGAAAATTACAAAACCAAACATATTTACTAAAGAAATTATTAACCCTGCAACAATACAATATTCACCCTTATTACTACTACATTAAAAACCATTTTGAATTTTTATTTCTAATCGGAGGATGAATTTGAAAAGGGTTAGATATGTCCATAGCATACAGTTTACGTTTTCGACACCATTAACACAGACCGTGTGGCCTAATGGATAAGGCGTCGGACTTCGGATCCGAAGATTGCAGGTTCGAGTCCTGTCACGGTCGACAAGCAACTTGAGACAAATTAATTCAAGTTGCTTACTAATTATGCTTTTTGAATATTTATTTGCAGTTTTTTTTTTATTAAAATTGAATATTTTTTGGTCTTCAGAAAAATTTTTCCACAAAATGTTTAGTAAAATAGTGAAACCTATGTAATGTTTTTGATGATATCATTAATTTGATACATAAACTCATGCCTTTGCCCTACAGGGTTAGACAGAAACTACAAATTCATCAAAAAAAATCTTTTTACAATGCGATATATCTGCTATTCCCACGCCGTTCGGTTATGTGACTGCGATCCCCAAGCAAACTATCAAGCCTGGTGATTTAGGATCACAGTGAAACCCATATTAGAATCTTGCTAATAGATGTTTTTATACCTTTATTACTACTACCTACTACTACGAACTACCTTCTACCCGCGGCTTCGTCCGCATCCCCGTGGGATATAAAGTAGTCTATCTGTCATTCCAGACCATAATCGGGGTAGATTCAAATTTCATCCCGATCCCTTCAGCTGTTTTGGTGTGATTGAATAACAAATCTACATACAAACTAACAAATTAAATCCCTTTTGCCCTTGGTCACGGCACTCACGGCATCACGCGGCTGGACTGGACCGATTTCACTAATTCTTTTTTGTTGAATTAATTTTAAGTATTTAGGATCTTAAGACAGAAGAATTCCTGAAAATCCTACGGGAAGGGAAACAACAGGATTGCACGTACGACGTCATGGGCAGAAGCTAATAATAGATAACTAAATCAATTTTTTTCACACATTACAGCTACACTGGTCGTCCGGACCGCGAGCGAGCGACATACTCTCTCCCGCGCGGCGCCCGGGGCCCGGAGCCAGGCCTCTCCGCCCACCCAGACTTCTACTTCATGCCCTCACAACGCAAATACGAAGGTGAAGTAGTCAAAGTATACGTAGACTATAGAGACAGACAGTAGTCGTGTAGCGGGGGTAGTACACACATCAAGTTGTACAAAACCAGTATATACTGACCGTTTAATATGCGGAGAGATCATACTGCGTGAGACCAATATAAACTGGTTTTTATCGCTTGATGTGCAGCCGTATTTATTTATGTTAACACAAAGGACTCGTACACAAAACTGCGCTTCGATGCGAATTTAAATCGCAAAAATTTACGATGCGATTTTGTGCGACAAGGCGCTCTCAGAGTGACCATTCCTTCGACGACCGTCAACTGTACTAAGCGTATTTTAAATTAAAAACCAGGTCGTGACATGGATCGTATAAAGTAGTGTGCACTTCTGTTATTGCTTAGGAGATACAGGGAAAAAAACAAAGAAGATTTCGGGAAAATAAGTTTTTGATGTGAATCAATTCGCAAGTTCTTGCGATGCGACGTCGCATCGCAGTTTTGTGTACGAGCCCTATAGAGGGCTACCGTGAGTGAGTACCTACTTATGATTGATAATGTACCGATAAGCGTCACTTCTTTTTGAGGAAGGAAGGTCATCGAATGTCTCCTTCTACCCTAAACAAGATGAGAGAGAGTTACAGACTCTTACTGACTAAAATCCATCTGGTTCTTACGCCTGCTTCGAGCAAGAATTCCGGTAACTTTTTTGATTTTCCGCTATCCCGGATCGAGCGGTAATTTTTCAAATAAAAGAAGTGCAGTTATTGGTCACTTAAGTTACAGCTAGATTGACCGAATATGAGCTCACGCTACATTAGCGCCATCTAGGTGGGGAAAAACGATAGTCCTCATTACTAGAAATGTCGGATATTTAATATCTTATAGTTTTTTGAGATCACTAGAATAACACTTTTGAACAACTGAAGTATTTGTTAATAAAATATTGCTTATTTTCTCACGGTTACTTACGCTTTACATAAGTACAAAATTGGATAAATAATTATTAGGTACATAGAATATAAATAAATTTATTATTATTAAATATTTAGTTTTTAACTTTTAATTTGCTTATAATGCATTAAAGTGCCAGTATTTATTAATGCCAGTGGTTATCATTAAGCTGAATACAAGTTAACATTATTATTAATACAAATTAATGTAATACTGGTAGTAATAAGATTGTAGCTAGTTTTAGTTGGTATTTTATACATGTCAAAAAGCGCCTATTTTACGTTCCAACATATATTTTATCAAAGTCAAAGCATTTATTTCAAATCATCCTTGATTAGACACTTTTGAAACGTCACAATTGAATTGTCCGTCCGTCTGTTTGTCAGTGAAGCTAGGCTTGTTCAAAAGTGTCGTTTCGAATGGAGAAGAACGAGCAAGAAACTCCATCGTTACTGTTTTCGAAAAAAAAAAAGATTCATTTTACATTTATTTACACTTTTATACATACATTTTGAGTGTATATATATTTCCACATATAAAATAGGCGCTTTTTGACATTTTCTAAAATGAAATATTGGGACACTGCATGTAATATTTGTAGTTAGTTATGCCTAAATATATAATGTTATTATACAATATACAGTCAAGAAAAGACGACTAAAGATTTATTTTTCATTTATATGAAAATCTGCAAGTATAAAAAATGTTGTTGATTGGATACTAAGATTCTTGTCTTGACTGTACGTTGTGCTTAGTGCTGCAATGTTATTTAACGCATGGGACATTATTAACAAATCAATATATTTTCTTCAATTTATAAAAGGATTAGGATTTGACAAAAGTCATGATGGGATTAGGAAAAATAAAAAAGAAATATATTATATAGGCATGTTTAAGGAATTGACCTTTGACTTTTTAATAATCAATGGCGCCTAAGCTTTAATATTAATTGTTAGCTGCAGCTTATTTATCTTACCACCGAACTCAGAGTCATTTGCTTACCCTCAGAGTCAATTGTTTTCGGAACAAATTGGTTGCTATGGAAAAGTTTAAAGCTAAGGAAACAATACCGGGCAAATGTCCTGCGACACATGTCGCCAGCGACGTTGGGTGAACTAGCGCGATGTTGCCGGACTTTAGTCGACATGTCTGGCGACATAGAGGGACACAGTTCTCCTGCTCGCGCGTTGTCGCCATATAGTACGAGAGATGACGACCAAAACCATGTCTCATAGCAATACGGCAAAAACCCTATAAAATCGTTAGATTGTATGATTCTGAACCCGACTAGGTGTGTAGTAACGGTCGAAAGTGTAGCAACTGTGTGGGAGACCATTTCTGCTGTGTCAAAAATATCTGAGTATCGAAAAGTTGTCTGATAGAGAAGGTGCTACACTTATTTTGTCTGATATACATTTTTTTGCACATGTGGACAACTTATTTTATCATGTCCAACAATTTTCAGACATATTGCCATGAGACAAAAATTTTGGTCGTCATCTCTCTAACTAAAAGAATATGTCAGGCGAAGTCGGCCAGCTAACATGTCGCCGATACGTGTCGTGGATGTCTTGGCTTCAGTAACGATTAAATGGCGAATGTATTTATTTGCTAATAATGTCCTGCTTCTAACCACAGCACGTAGTTTGACTAGCGGCATGTGCGCATACGTTGTTTGGCTTACCAGTGCACTTGGAAATCACCTGTACAAAGTTAAATATAATGGTCGTATGAAACTTACTGAATACTTGAAATACCTCTTTTTGAGGGGGTAAAATCATCCGATGATTTGCCCCACCTTGGGTGAGGCGCGAATGTCAGACTCTTACTGACTAAAAACCACCCCGTTCCTACTCCTGCACGTCGAGTCGGAGCCCCGGTAACCCGTTAGGTCGCCCGCAGCTCCGGAATACTTAAACTATCTAATTTGTTTTATTCTTAACTGTTTCTGAATTCAAAGTTATAGCATTTACTTTTATTAAATCGCTTAAAGGCCATGAGCAAGAATGGTGATTAATGCTCGAACCTTCTCCGTGTGAGAAGAGGCCATTGATCATCAGTGGCATCTTATAGGCTGTTAATATGACACGATGTAACTTAAAAGGCCGTTTTTGGAACGTAAATATAGAATTAATTCCTCAGTACTATTTTAATGTACTTACGTTTGCCCAGCACGGCCCCTCAGAATTTGCATTTATGGTGTACACCATTGCAATGTACTCGCCTCTAGCAGTATATGTACCGATTTCTTTTTCAATGTACCTCTATACTTTTGAAGAAATATGCAAAAAAAGGTGGCCGTGCCAGCCAAACGCTTTCAGCACGGCCCCCCATGTAACTTGAATAATACATACCGTATTAACAAATGTCTATAACTCAAGAAATGTACTCTATTAATACGTTATATGTGCCGCAACAGTTATTGTGAATTCATAATAACAAATAATATATAGATGTGGATAAGGGGCCGTGCTGGAAAAAATCATTTTAAGAAATATCTAAAAAAGACAAAACATACTTAGCCATAAACTATTAAAAAATAATTGAAGTTTAGCAAGTAACATATGTATCGCATTGATTTCTCATACAACTTGTTATATTGTGAAAAATAAATCTATTTTAGTTCATTCAGCGCGGCCCTCTATAGTTGCCTATATCTTTTTAAATAAGCCGTGTATGTTTACAAAATTCGACTTCCTGAATAATATATAGGAGTACATTCCTTTCAACTAAATTGCAATTCTGCTGTATCAATACTTTAGAAGATAAATTCAATCTAAAATATACATACATTAAAACTGATGGGGTGACCATGATTCTACATGAAAATAGGATAAAAAATACTGCTTAAATTGAGTAAATCTTTATTAAAATAAACAAATCAACAATATGGTCAACTATATAAACGATAACTAGGTACTTATACATAATAGCTCGATAATCGTACAAGTGTCAAGTTAGTGTCGCTAAGACTACATAGCTCAAAGTCTTAAAAATCATACATTACAATAAAATCACAGATTCATTACATTTCACAAATTAGTTCGTTTACATGGAATAACAACCTATGTCTCAATAACACTACAAAACTTATTATACCCGTTCGTATAATATTTTATACGCGTTCAATAAATCATATTGATTGAACCTTACATTACACTAATATTAATTTGCATGAATCGCTTTAATTATTTGGTATAATCACAGGCAATTAATTAAATCCACGTAATCACAGATGTTTTTCAACGACTATAACAATTAGAATATTGTTCGTTTATGTTACTAATATTATGTTACCTATGGAATAATCATAGAAAAACTAGTACATAAATTAACTTATTAAAAGTAATCACAGATGACATTACAACAGTATTGACTTCTTATTAAACAGTTCACAGTTTCATATGCATATTTTTAGCAACTAGTCTTTACCAGATTCTTAAATAGTGTAAAATTAACTTTAAATTATTACAAAATACATGTATTTAAAAACCATGGCTCAAAAACATATTCTGGTTTCACTGTAATTACCAGAGCCGTCACTCATAGGATCATATTCAGCAAACCCTGAGCTCCGCTCCGACGTGAAAGCGGAATATTCGTAAAAGTTATTATTTTTAGTTGTATTAAACTGTCAAACACCAAGCGGTCACCGGTGACCGCAACCTATTGTTCTATAATTGTGTCTACAAAACCGGTACTCGACGAGTTAAATATATAAATAAATATCAATAAAAAAAAATATAAAAAAAGCTCTGTAGTGTTATTGAGACATAGGTTGTTATTCCATGTAAACTAATTTGTGAAATGTAATGAAGCTGTGATTTTATTGTAATGTATGATTTTTAAGACTTTGAGCTATGTAGTCTTAGCGACACTAACTTGACACTTGTACGATTATCGAGCTATTATGTATAAGTACCTAGTTATCGTTTATATAGTTGACCATATTGTTGATTTGTTTATTTTAATAAAGATTTACTCAATTTAAGCAGTATTTTTTATCCTATTTTCATGTAGAATCATGGTCACCCCATCAGTTTTAATGTATGTATATTTTAGATTGAATTTATCTTCTAAAGTATTGATACAGCAGAATTGCAATTTAGTTGAAAGGAATGTACTCCTATATATTATTCAGGAAGTCGAATTTTGTAAACATACACGGCTTATTTAAAAAGATATAGGCAACTATAGAGGGCCGCGCTGAATGAACTAAAATAGATTTATTTTTCACAATATAACAAGTTGTATGAGAAATCAATGCGATACATATGTTACTTGCTAAACTTCAATTATTTTTTAATAGTTTATGGCTAAGTATGTTTTGTCTTTTTTAGATATTTCTTAAAATGATTTTTTCCAGCACGGCCCCTTATCCACATCTATATATTATTTGTTATTATGAATTCACAATAACTGTTGCGGCACATATAACGTATTAATAGAGTACATTTCTTGAGTTATAGACATTTGTTAATACGGTATGTATTATTCAAGTTACATGGGGGGCCGTGCTGAAAGCGTTTGGCTGGCACGGCCACCTTTTTTTGCATATTTCTTCAAAAGTATAGAGGTACATTGAAAAAGAAATCGGTACATATACTGCTAGAGGCGAGTACATTGCAATGGTGTACACCATAAATGCAAATTCTGAGGGGCCGTGCTGGACAAACGTACATCTATTTTAATAATGTAGATATTATCTTCAATTAATTATACTTCTGAACGATAAAATTGTTATCTGCGATTTTAATAATTCTTTTTATAAAAATTTTGCAGCAGTAATTGTTAGGATGACGCAAGTGTATAGTTTTTTAACATGTTCGTTATCTTCCGTCGTGCATGCAATCTCGAAATAGAAGTGAATTATTTTTATGATAATAATGAATTAAGAAAAATAACTCCTTTGTTTTTACAAGTTTCTTTGTTCAGTAAGTTTTTAGGACCTCTAAAAATAAGGCTTTTTTTATTTACAATTTATTATAATATACTTACTTATCCTATTTCTATATAACCTTACTATTTATAGTTCAACCAAATTACTAGAAGTATACATTTGAAAAAAAAAAAAACAATTAATATAGAGATGTTACTTTATGCCAACGATTTGTTTTTTACAGATTTTTGATGGGGACTACGGTGAATTCAGATAAAATAATTAGTTACCAACATTAAATTTTCTTACATATATAAAAGCACCGATTTGTTTTTAAGATATATCCTTTTATATATATTCTCACAATAATTATAACTTAACATATAAATAAATATTATTGTTATATTTTTTATTTCAAACCAGATCTAGTCTCATGTCACAGTTTTAAAAAAAAGTAAGTTATTTTCACTTCTTAATTATAATATAAATAATTTGTACTTAATTATTTTATTTTTCTTCTTATTACTTACAAAAAAACAAAGTTGTAAATAGTAATTTGTAAAATTATTTCGCTGTAAATTGCACAAAAGCTGTTTAAATAAGTTTGACGAATAATTTTATTTAATTATAAGTTTTCTTTGGAATAACATTAGACAGTAAACAAATTTTTATTTGCTGTTCATTAAACTGATTTTCACTTCTATTGCTTAAGCAATAAGGTTCACGATTTTTTTATTTAATTACAAAATAATATAAAAATTGAAACGGGTTTATAAAACTGTCTGATGGAATTTCTGATGGAATTTAGTTTTAATAAAAATAACAAATTATTTGAAAAAAGACACCACCTATGTTGTGTTAGGTGAACGAATTTAAATATAATTGTAATTTAAAAATGTATAATTAAGTATAAAAAAGGTTTATAATTAAAATTATAATTTAATTATAAGTAGCCTTTGTATAAAAGCCTTATAGGGTAATTATAAGTTTTAAAAATTAATTATAAGTTTAAAATTCCGTCCCGATATAGTTAATTGTAAAACAACCGAACATGAAGTATTACAACGATGTAGAAGTGTTTACGGTACCTAAGATTTAGAAATGAAATAAAATATTATTTTTTATAAATATTTATCTTGTTTTATTTATATTTTAAGTTATTTCCCTTTGTATAAACCTCTTGTCTGTCGATATGTGAAACACAATAGAAAGCACATTGTGTCTCGCGTAGATTAATAATTATTGACTGCCTCGTTGGGCAAGGGGTCTCGGGTTGGATTCCCGAATCGGGCAAACTATTACTGGGTTAGTCTGGAATTGTGCCTGGTATATGGCAATACGCTCACTCCCTATTACATGGGACTCATATCACAAATAGTGGGTGTTACATCGAACAGTGGCATTAAGTGCCGTAATTATGTGCACCTCTGCCTACCCCTTCGCGGATAAAAGGCGTGAGGTTATGTTATGTTATGTGTATAATTATTGAGTCAGATTGGAGGTGTCGGATAGTAGGATTCGATTACTAGTAAAGTAAAACAGATCATCTACATAATTATATAAAAACTCAAATAAACAAAGCATACTCAGAATTTAATAGAGAAATCATCTTTTTGCGAGTATGTAATTAAATTAGACTGCCTCATTGGCTGAGTGGTCGCAAGTGCGACTGTCGGGCAAGGGGACTCGGGTTCGATTCCCGGGTCGGGCAAAGTATTACTGGGTTTTTCAAAAAATTCACATTAGTAGCACGGAATCTGAAATTGTGCCCAGTATAATGGCAATAGGCTCACCTATTACATGGGACTTATAATATAAATAGTGAAAAGTGGGTGTTACATTGTACAGTGTATACATACATAATGTACACCTCTGTCTATCCCTTCGCGGATAAAAGGCGTGAGGTTATGTTATGTGTATAATTATTGAATCAGATTGGAGGTGTCGGATTCGGTGTCTGGTTTAAAACAGATCATCTATATAGAAACTCTTATAAAGATAGAATACTGAGAACTCAAATAAAGAAATCATATTCCGAATTTAATAGAGAAAACATCTTATTGCGAGTAATTAAAACAAACGAATCAATTTTTCAAGTTTTATAATATAATTTTGATACAAGTTTCACAATGTCATCCCCGTAGAATACTGTCCTTGTACTGTTATACAGTTAATTAAAAATAATATAAAAATACATTTATAAGAGTCGTTCAAAGGTTGCATCTAACGCCTCTCACTTGCTTCGTTCGAATTCGCATGAGGTCCTGAAATGACATAAAATAAAAATATTATATTATCATTTAATTATGGCAGTCGTCATAGCTAGATAGAGCTTTAAAGGATATCCCACATTTAAAAAGCACGTCTCCAATCCAGCCATTATGTTGTCATTTAAATATAAACTGTATGACATATTTCGTAACGTCAATACAAAGGCCGACAGGGGGTGGTCGGCGCGCGGTCCACTCGAGGTATAGTCGAGGCGCCCGCGTACGTACGGCGCGCCGCCCGCTCGGCGTCGGCGCGGTGTCGGCGAGTTGACGGCAGCGCGCCGACCGGCCGCTGCCCGCGAGTTGGAAGCGCGTGGTCACCGTGCTGACGCTGCGACGCCGCGCCGGAGCCGTGCTTTTTAAATGTGGGATGACCTTAACCGCACCGCTTGACTCTCGTGTCGGGAGTGCATCGCTCGCGCCCGCGCCTCTGCCCGCAAAATTCGAAGCTGAGGCCTAAAAACCTGAGGTCTAGTTTGTTCTGTCTTAAGTAATTGAAACTACACCACGTTGGGCGCTCTCATTGGTTGGTTCACTGCAGCCGGCCAATCAGATTGCCGATCGCTATCTTGTTATGATTACTTTAAATCTAAAACAAACTTGTACTAAGCCCTCTGACTACAGCCCTAATCAATAATGTGGTGCACATATTTAGTAGGTTAAGACTTAAATTTGACAGTTTACAAATGGACCCATTTAGGATTTCAACCCTACCACTCGAATGTTGAAAGGCTACACAATATTAAGTTGACTATAAATATCTTTTTTGAAGTGAAAACTTCTTTAGCGGCGTTGTACACTTTTTTATAATGGGTAAAAAATGTTAAACTCGCGTCAGGACACGTGTCCTAATCGAAAATTCGTAAGACGGATGGAGAGTAGACAGCTGGCGTGGTGTAGGCGTCAAAAGATGGCCATCTTACCACAACGAAATACAAAACTGTTATTGATGTGGGCTTTAGTAGCCTTTCAGTATTCGGGAGGTTAATATTATTAGCAATACCATTCGTCTCGTTGACTTCATGAATAGGGCTATTGCAGGCCAAAGCCACTCCCACCCTGCCCCACAATAATAATTAAACAGGCTGATATATAATTATGACGACTAGGAGAAAATGCCCTATAGCACCTTTATTTTTTGTGTAGATACTTTAAAGTATAACTCAATACTTGAATACTGGAAAGTTTATTCTAAACGGAGTCTTATACGAACACAGCGTGATGCTCGTCAAAATTCCCACGACAATCGCGCATCACAACTGTTTGCGCGGGAAACTTTACTAATCTGTCGCATTTGACAGATGACAGCGTCAACATTGCCTACAGCTAGTGCTGTCGATAACATAGATTAAACTAGTGACGTTTATTTAGTCGATTTTCATCGTCTGTACATAAATAAATATTATCGTAAAATATTAAAGTAACTCACAACATAGCTAAGGTCTCCGCCTCGCCTCTTGAGCTCTGCCTCCATGTGTGCTGCGATACCTTGTTGCGGAGTGCCGGCCACGTCTATATAGTGACACTTACTGCTCGCGTAGTGACAGGTCATCGCCTTGCGGTATGACTGTGGAATATAGTGGACCTTACATCAATACGCCGTGGAAGTCCAGTGCATTATGAGCCACTCCTGCACCATGATAGGACTTTTTCCGATCTGATTAAAACAAAACCAATCTCGAAGCTTGAGAGATAAATGGGAGATCAAAATTTCTGAGAGAAAAGTGTAGGAGAGCCATGCTTCGGCACGAATGGGCCGGCTCGATCGGAGTGATACCACTTTAAGACCGACGTGAAACAACACTTGCTTTGTATTTCGTCGTGTGTCGTGAGGTTAGCGGAGGCCCGATTACCAATCTTCCCAATCCCCTTAATCCCCAACAATCGTCAAATTCTTAATCACCAAAAGGCCGACAACGCAGTCGCAACGCCTCCTGTGTTTCGGCTGTCCATGGGCGAAGCCAATTGCTTACCATCGGGTGATCCGTCTGCTCGTTTACCGGCTTATCCTGATAAGCAAAGGTTCAAGTTTATAGGAGACCGCTGCCGACAGAGGAAGGCAAAATCATAGTTAAAGATCTCTGTTTCATCTGGTAAGTGAGCGTCCCGAATGCTCAGCAAACAAATTAAAAATGGTACAGGTGGCAATGCACGTATTACAGATGACCATCAAGTTTGGAGATTAGGAGTCAGATAAGGCTACGGTGACCACTTTCATCAGTCGGTTCGCAAACTTTATTGCTATGGATGTCGTGGTGGTCCGGAGGTTTAAGACGCCCGCTTCTCATGCATGAGCGTACGGGTATGAAACCTACCAACGGCAAGTACCAATGTGACTTTTTCCGAGTTATATGTACTTTCTAAGATTATCTAGACACCACTGACAAACGATGAAGGAAAAACATAGTGAGGAAACATGAGCTTATAATTTCTAATTTTATAAGTTTGTAATCGCTAACCCGCATTGAACAAGCGTGGTGATTAATGCTCAATCCTTTTCAGTGTGAAAAGCGGTTTTGCTCAGCAGTGGGCATTTATAGGCTGTTGATGATGACGATGATGATGATGATGGTGATTGCTACGGATAGGATATAAGTAGTAATGAAGAAAAAATGCAAAGCTTGTCTTACATTAGAGACATTAGGCCTGGACCCATGCACGATGGTAGAGACGAAGAAGGCAGTGTCTCCTGGCTCCATATCGAGGTAGACTCGTTTGTGCTCTGGTGCTAATAGCTTGTCCTCCACGATGGTGTAATAAAATAGCTTGGCTTCCTGTAATCAGGACAATTGCCATTAGGGCTCTTAGGTGACCTATTTATGTATGACCAGCATTTTGTTGATGAACTTAAAAAATATCTTGATTAAATTGGTCATGAGGATTATCAGGATAAAGAGTAGCTTCTGCTTAGGTCCTGTCTGAAATGAAAGCTTTCCGATGGTAAAGTAATTTATCAAATCGGTTCAGTTCCAACAAACAACTTTTCTATACCTATATTTTAAACGACTGCCTGTTAAATACCTTATTAATTTTGAATTATATTATTATATTGAATTATATATGAATTATATTGAATTATATATATAATATTGAATTATATATAAAAAAATAATTAATGTTGAATTAAACTGTCAAACACCAAGCGGTCACCGGTGACCGCAACATATTGTTCTGTAATTGTGTCTATAATGACGGTACTCAACGATGATGACGATGGCTTACATATTCAAGGTGTAGACTTTTTTGGAATAGATTTTGTTCTAGAGTGTGTGAGAGAGCGATAAGAGTAAGTTAGAGTGAGATAGAGAAAAGTATTATTTTCCAAAAAATGCTATAGTACTTATAACTTACGTCAACTTGATCTTTATGTTCATGCAAGACATTTTGTTTGTGTGAGCCGGGCACCATATAGAGGCAGCCGTTGTCTCTGGTCACTGGGTCGATGGCAGTCCACGTCGCTACTATCTTGTCTGCTGGACGGAACGGGAAGTATAACAGGTCCTGGAATTAACTTCTTTGTTGACGAAATATGAAGAACTGCATCATATTTTTTTATAGGGATAAGCCACTTAACGAGCACACGGATCACCTGATGGTAAGCAATCGGCGCCGAAACGCCAGAAGCGTTACAAGTGCATTGGCTTTTGGAGATTAAGAATTTAAGGATTGCTAGGGATTCGGGAATTGGGGAGATTGGGGAAGGGATATCAGAAAGCCTATTTTCGTCCAGAGCTAGCTATGTAACTCTCCAATTGCGAATACCACTGAGCTTTGACCTTCGGTTCTTTGTCAGCTAACCAAGAATTCCACGCTTCTGTTGGAATCAAGCCTAAATAATTATGTTCACTACTGAAGAAAGACTTTCTTAGCTTGAGAGGGTTTTACCAAAACTCGTATGATTGGTCGCTCAGAGGTTGCAGTTACATCGAACAGTTGAAGAATGTTGTTGCCCATCTCTTTTCACTGTTTAGCTAGTTCTTACTTGTAAGGTCTTAACGGTAGCAAAGTCAATTTATGCTAAGAGATGTTGAGCTTAACCAGGGCCGTCTTAGACTACGCTGGGACCCTTCGGCACACTATAAATTCAGGGGCCGTTGTGGCATGGATTTTCTCCTGTATCGTGGGTGCATTTACAAACACACAAGTTCACATATACATGACACCCAGATCCGAAACAACAATTTGTGGACCACACAAAGATTTGACTTCGTGCGGGAATCGAACTTGGTACAGTTGCGGGGCAGCCGGTTGACGTCCGTCGCGTCGTAGAAAATGTCGGTCCTTCGGGGCCCCTTGAGGATGGGGCACGGGTCCCGAGTGCCCTTATAGCAAAGACAGTACTGAGCTTACCTGATGTGGTGGATGTTTGCGAGTCCCAGGCGGTTTGTTAATAAGCATGGAGTTGACGGCGGTGATGTCCTCTCCTATCAGCTGCGACACTATGTGCAGCAGGCGAGGGTCCTCGGAGTACGTGCTGTATACCTCGTCGTAGAGTAACTCCTGGATCTAAGATGATAGAATAACAACCGTATTATCTTTATGGCAAACTAGACTTGCTTAGGGTGTCAAGTTACGAAGCGGCGCCTACTCAACTGCCCATAGAGTGACGATGGCGCGATGAGAAATTAGCGTTGCCTATAAGTTTGTGAAACCTTTGTATATAGGAGCCATAATATAAACAATAACCATAAGGTTGACTGGTACTACTAATATGTAGTTCAAACAGGAGTAGAACTATGTCTCGTTGCGCGTGCGGTCGCACTGCCGGCTTAGTTCTCACTTTAAATGAGATTTTGAGTAATAACAGAAGGTCAGAAGCACAGAAAACAATACTTATACATCTGCAGGCGCGGCAAGATACACAACATTAACTATAAGAGTTATCCAGAAATTGCAGTAAGGAATCTTAGACTTGCCACGAATTTGTCTAGATTTCATTTCTTTTTAGAGATGAACGAGCGGCTCCGTAGAGACTTGAGTAGTTTTACACAGAATATTTTGGTTTGATAGGTACATTTTATTTATAACTAGCGACCCGCCCCGGCTTCGCACGGGTGCAATATGCCTGTATTATACATACAAACCTTCCTTAAGAATCACTCTATCTATTAAAAAAAACCGCATCAAAATCCGTTGCGTAGTTTTAAAGATCTAAGCATACATACGGACATACAGCGAAAGCGACTTTGTTTTATACTATGTATTGATTTTATGTTGTTTTAATAAATATTCACATTATTAGACCTTCGAATTATTTTTGTAAGTATGCCTACTATTTGTCATTCATGTTTAGGTAGACTTCACGAATATGTAATTTGTCGGGTTCAAGTTTATGTAGGTACATAACTGTAGGTAAAGCGATCAAGGTTATATTCAAACAATTAAAATTGAGGATTATGCTAATATAGACTCAAAAAGAAACCAAATAGAGCAGTGGTTCCCAAAGTTGTCTGGACTTTTTTTTGAGGGAGAAAATCATCCAATGACTTCCCGCCCGGGTGAGGCGAGAGGGAGTGTCAGACTCTTACTGACTAAAAACCACCCCGTTCCTACTCTTGCACTTCGAGCCGGAGCCCCGGCAACCCGTTAAGGCTTCCGCAAAGTTGTCTGGACTATGATCTATCTAAATCAAGTTCCCGAACTTAGGACCCACCTTCAGCGAAATAAGCTGTAACCAGAATAAAAGACCAAATACAGAACGGTTGCCTTGTGCGTCTTTCTACAGACAAAATTTACTAAAAATTTGCTTGCGAGTGTTGCGACCCGGCCAATGGCTTGCGAGTCGCGACCCATAGTTTGGGAAACCCTGAACTTGAACTAGAGGTCACAGTCATTTGTTTTTAGCTCGACCATTAGTGCCGTTTGTAATTACGTAGGTAAATTGTTGTTGGATATTTTGTTTAAGTAGTTAAAAGTGGTTTCCTTGTACCTACCTTTTGTAATCGTAAAATAAAAGGAATACTCGCACATAGTTTTAGCGGAGATAATTATAACCAGATAAGTACTAGAATAAATAGGTATTAAAATTAAAAACAAGGATTTTCCTTCAATTACGAAATAGCAGTAAAAAATTTACGAAAACTTCGGACCAATGGCAGCGTCATTACAATCACACTGATATAAATGTAAAAATGTGATGTTTGTCCATCAATCACGTTGAAACTACAGAACGGATTTTGATAAGGTATACAGACAGGGTATGGGCTGACTTAGGTGATAGGATCCCTTTGACCTGATTAAATGCTCCCATGGCACAAAACAGGAATTGCTGGCAACAGCTAGTTTATTAATTATATTAGCCTATGGGATGCACCGGTACCTTCGCGGGGCCCTTATTTAGGAGCCTCCCGGCCCAGTCTTTACCTTATTGATGAAATCCTCAGGTTTGGTCTGGTTCTTGCACAGAGCTCGATCCTTCATGACGGTGACACGACCTTTCTCCACACGACCTTCACATACATCCGTGAAACGTTGTCTGGAAGCAGAAACAATGTATGAACATACTCACATACCTACTCACTTTTTCTTTTCTTATGATATTCAAACAAGTGAATTTATTTCTGCAAATAGGCTACAAGGCAGCACTTTTACACGTCAATTTTATCAAGCGCATGATGAGGTCGACATTTCCTAACTGACTACTCTGAGAAGAAATGCTGAAACAAATTCAGAGGTCTGTCTCTTTTAAAGTGCAGACAAATACGTATATGTATAAATGATTATGTGTGAGAACCGTGCAAGGTCTTTCTGTAGTGGGCTTTTGAGGAAAGAACCACAACAGTTTGAGCGGACCCGCTCTGAAGGCAGTACGCATGTGTCGGTATACAGTCAGCTCAATTAACAGGTGAGGCTGACTGATTCGACGAACAATACCAACCTAAAGAACATTTGGGTGGGTCGCACAAATACTCAAACTAATTACTTACTGATTACTCAAAAAATTAACTTGAAGAAAGAAAGAAAAAATCTTTATTTCACACGCTAAAACAGGTGACATATACAGATTTTACACATAAGTTTATATATATCTACTAATGTCCCAAGTCCGCGGTGAAATGGGACCAGTTCAGCATGTGCAAGATAGGGCCTCGCGCTGGTATTCTACTGGCCCTGGATAAATATGTATGCATTGTGCTGGTAATAAAGAATTTTTATTTTATTTTAAAAAGCTTCGATCATTCACATCACGGCAACAACCTACAAGTGATGTTTGAGCATTAATCATCGTGCTTGCTCAATGCGTTTTGGCGATTTCAAACGTTTTTTTAAATCTTTATTTAATAAGAAGGGCTTTTTTTCTTAGAGGAAAATGTCAGCCCTATTATATGATACAAAATTCAATAATAAAAATAAAGCACCTAAACCGTTTATAGGTTTAACTAGCCCTTAAGCTTATACATAAAATAATTAAACGATACAATTTTCTAGCCTCAGATGACAATGGTCACGCTAAAACACTGTGATAAAAACCAATATTAAAGCTCTTAAAACTAAAAATTTGGTTGTAATAATCGTGCTACTAATGAAAAGTTTAAAAATCAACAATTCTTAGCTCCCTTTCGCCTTTCTAGTCGATCAGTAAAAAGGCAGTTACACATTTACTAAGTCTTATCTTAAATAAATAATTTTTATTTAATCACTAGCTGACCCGGCAAACTTCGTACCGCCTAAAAATATTTTTCTCACCTTTTAAAACTTCCCTGGACTTCCACGAACATTTCAAGACTAAAAATTAGCCAAATCGGTTCAGCCGTTCTCAAGTTTTAGCGAGACTAACGAACAACAATTCATTTTTATTTAAATAGATTTGACCACCGATAGATGGCGTTGTTTTTTTAAATTATTAACAACACTATTTATAAAGTTCTTAATATTTATATTTCCGAGTGTGTTTCGGCATTTCTTCTCGGAGTAGTCGATTAGGAAACGTCGACAAAATCGTTCGCTTAAAATACTGACGTGTAAAAGTGTTGCTTTGTAGCTAATTTGCAGAAATAAAATCACTGGAGCTACAAGTAAAATAAATTAATAATAAAATAAATAATTACTCCATGATAAATGAGATGATATAATGAAATGTGACATAAGTGATATTTTTAAAATTGACTTCTACCAGTAGATAAAAAGTAGGTAACGAAGATACCTAGTTATGTGGTATTCCAAACTATACTCAACCTTGTTCTCAGACCTCAGAAAGGAAAAATTTCATTCAGGGTACTGCCTTTAAATTCTAATTCAAATGCCAAACATCCTATACCAAATTCTAATCGGGTCCATTCAGTATTTTTATAGACAGTCAGCATAGTTATTTAGTCCGTGGGTGAGAAAATAAAGATAATCTTAGAACAGAGACGTTAGCTCTTATTTTTTTTATATAAGTGATGTGCATTTTTATATGTTTAGTTTAAGTCATGTCAATTTTCTATTTGTTATGACAAACTGTGTCTTACTTTTCCTGCCCCAGGTCCACCGAAAGAAATTCCAATAGGAGTAGGTGGTATACCTTTGTACTTTAATTTTATATATGTGTTGTCCTTTACGTTTTATGAGTACACATAAATAAATTATACATTTTATGATTTTCTTTGAGTTGGGTGTTCATCATCTACACGCAACTCGTTTCAAAAATAATGATAATCACAAGAACCGCGCGGTGCGCGATGGAAACCATTAAACGATATAAATCTTCTATATACCATACATGTTCATATGCTTGGACATAAACGAACTCTTCCCCGACCTAACTAAAATCGTGTAACGAAACCATAGCGCGATTCAGGATTCGAGTCTCAACTAACAGCGCCATCTAGTAGCGGCAATAGAAACGACATTTTAATAATAAATCTTATTGCGTTTTCACTGTATACTGTGATTTAGGTTAGAATTTATTGTTGAATTCATTTGTTTGTAATATAAGTTCTGAAGGAAAGGTAGTTTTCGTTTAAAATGACTTTAAAAATCATGGTTAGTGGCAGTGTACATTTATTCTAGCGCTTTCTATCGTCGGTTTACAAAACTTCCGCACTCGTTCTTTACTATCAAGTGAGTTTGGTAGAACTGAAGGATTATGCAGAGTTAGAAGCTTATGAAAAAATTATTTTGTGTTCTGCGCATCGACTCGCGACAATTATTTAGTTTTACTATAAGTGGGATCAGAGGTCGCTCTGTGATTATGTGTTAACCGCGTAATATTATTCTACCTCCTTACACATACAAATACACTTTTAAGATCCATACAAAGGAGGTTGTAAAGATTTACACAAAGTTATTTAAACTTTTTTATAGATTGTAACAGGAAGATACCGGCTGATTTAGATGAAAAAATCTGATAGATGCCATAAACCTATTTAAAAATGTAACATTTTTTTTTATGGTATCCGAGTATTTTTTCTCGTTATATGGCCAGTGACTAGTCTATTTAAAAAATAAGTCCACAGTCCACATAAAAAGTATTTAGTGTTTCCTTTTTAAATGCTTCAAGGACAATGTTCAATGACGAACGAATCAACGAAATATATATTGTGAGTTTTATATAGCTTTAGCAAAACTGTATATTTCTAAACTGTATATTATATCTATTTGAAAATATATTTTTAAAAATTTTAATACAAGATTATATTGCAGTTTATAAAAATCGTCAAATGCTGCCAATTTCCATAGAACAATGGAAAAATAAGAAAGTATCAAATACCAAGATAGGTTGTAAGATTGGTCTATGTAACTTTGAACCGTACCTGTAACTATTTAGAGCTGGAATTCCAATGAGTTTCTTGATGACCAGGTAGCCATTGTCGTTGTAGAATTGAAGCTGCTCCGCCGACAGATGGTATGTGGCCGACGGGTCAGAAGATATACTAGAAAAAAATTGCGCCCATTTTCGCGAATTGCTAGACATTAAGACCAATAGTGGGCGAGACCTGTCTCTGCCAGCGGTAGTTAAGGCTATGCTGGCAGATACAGAAAATAGGAGGGAAGTGGCCTCCTTTTGTAAGACTGTAATGACCCAAAAGGAAGCTGGTGAGCGGGGTCGCGAGAGGGCCGATCCTGCTCGTAGAAGGCGTCGAGGAGGTAACCCGCCTGCATCAACTTCAGGCGGACCTTTGGAGCCACGGTTGCGTAGAGTGGGGACTCTAGGTGCCCACCCTGTGGTCTCAGGGAAGACGGTGGTACAGTGGTCACGTGTCGCCGTACACAACAAGACTTAAAGAAGACACCCGTCTTCCTAGGGACGTGTCGTAACAGGCGTTACACTGTGGAGGCTTTGGAGCAGGTCTCTTTTAGTGGACCCGGAACCTTCATTCAGGTGTTGAGGGTGGCCACCGGGGTCGTTTAAGTGACGTAAAAATCCCACACTTCCTAGTCTTTTATCCCCAAAAAGGTATGCACCTTTCGAAGGTTTCCCCCAGTCATCAAAAAAAGGCCTCTCCAATAGTACCCACGTATGATAATTTTTGCCACTGAGTTTCCTATCTTCAGCTTTGTTGGGAGGATATAAAAATTTAAAAAATGTTACATTTTGTCAATATTGTTTACATTTCAGCAGAGCTAGCATAAAAATATACCCAAATTGGATAGATTTCGCTAAAATCTTTAGAATATGTTTTTAATATAATGATTTATATACAGCATTAAATAAGTTCAGTAATTTGCCGTGTGCTTCAGTTTTAATAGTGCCGAAGCTGGTCTGTTTAGAGTACCCAGTGCCCACTTAATGGTGCCGATAGTGGTTTTAAGGAGGTAAGGAACACCACACTCCCTAGTCTTTCTCCCCAAAGCCCCAAAGCCACCTTGCGGTTCCCCTGTCCGTCAGAAAACATGGTCCCTTCATGTACCTACTATGTCCATAGATTCTTCCATGTCCGAAAAAGAAATTACTAGATAATAAAAATATTTAATCCTCACCATTTCGGCATTATTTTAAAATTTCGGTTCGCCATGTTCACTGCACTTATTTTATTTTATTTTTTTAAATCACACACGAAAGCCACGGTTTAATAGTAAATTTAATCTAGAATAAACGTTATTGTTTCAGCATCGTCATTACCTACCAAAGTACACCCGATTAAATGGTAATTGTACGAATGCAAATAATTTGTGATTACCGGTACATATACATATATTTGTTACAATGAATCATTGATTTAGGGATCCGTAGTAAAATGGTCCTCAAATGTCTTATTCGAGTAATATTATAAACTAGCTGTGCCCACAACTTCGTCCGCGTGAAATAGTGGTTCATAGTTCCACCCCCGTCGTTGATAGCATGATAATATGTAGCCTATATGTTGACCCGACCTGTTAGTAATATTCATGTAGAATTTGAAGTAAATCCATGCAGCATACAGGCAAACAGACAAAAATTCTAAAAACTATATTTTTGGTTTCGGTATCGAGTGTAGATCACGCCCAAGTATTCTTTAAAAAATATTCGATGTACAGTTTTCACTTTCCTATGATTTTATTATATATATTATGTATAGAATAGAATAGGCAGATGCGAGTTTGTATGTATCTTTGTCTCGCCAAAATGGCTGGATGAATCGAGATGAAATTTTGAACTTCGACTGCACGGTTGGTGCGGTGGCTGGGCAACCGGCTGCCGTGCAACGTATCGCGGGTTCGATTCCCGCACGGAACAACACTTTGTGTGATCCACAAATTGTTGTTTCGGGTCTGGGTGTCATGTGTATGTGAACTTGTATGTTTGTAAACGCACCCACGACACAGGAGAAAATCCTAGTGTGGGGCAACGTTTTTAAGAAAAAAAAAAAAAACTGAGGTAGATTATCGTCTAGAATAACACGTAGGCTACATTTTATCCTACGAAACTATTAATAAATACATTTTTACCCGGGGATCGCGGGCGAAGTCGGTGGCAGAATATAGTAACAAATAAAATGTAAAATGCAGTTTCGAATTAGCACGATTGTGTTGTAACAACAATAATGGGATCTAAGACAGAATTTTATTTAAGTTGATAATTTAGTCTGAGATGACTATGTAATAAAGTTCTTATATCTAAAATATATTTATTTATCTTTATTACTCACGTTACTCACTCCCGTGAATATACTGAGAAAAGCTCTACTGATTTCGTACCGCGCTGCTCATGAGGAAGAGCCCCTCTGAGGTTTGAAACTAGTAGAGCTTTTCTCAGTATACACACGTGAGTAATGACTAATCCGCGATTTTTGCCGGGGCGGCGGCAGTGCAGGAGTAGGAACGGGGTGGTTTTTAGTCGTCAGTAAGAGTCTGACTCCCTCCCGCCTCACCCAGGCGGGAGAAGTGATTGGATGACTTTCCGCCCTCAAAAAAAACCCGCGATTTTTAGTTCATTTAATATGTCTCACGTTATTATAAAAACAATTTATTTATCTTTTTAAGTTTTATACAATTGCAATAGAAGGACTTAATGCTAACAGCATTCTTTGCCAGTCATTATAATAGATTTGTTTATAAAATAACATTCATAAAGACTGTTTGTATTGTTAAAAAGTTAATATTTGTGTTGATTGTCTATTATGTTCCAATTCGAATAAGGTAAAGGGTCATTTAAGTTAATGTTCCTCCATGAAGATAGTAAATTCCGACACTGCAGAGATCTCATCAATAAAATTTGGAGTTGTCTGGTAAGAAACACGTGGATTTTGAATATTGCTGTTTTTTTAACCAACTTCAAAATATGAGGTTATTTGTTTTTCTGTATTTGGATCTGTATTTTTCTTGTAGGTATGTTTGTAAATGCACCTACGACACAGGAAAAAAACATTGGCGGGGGCACGTTTGAAAAAACATGACGATACCTTCTTTACACGGAATACATAGAATAATTCTAGAAAAATATTGTTACGTAATACTTAGATATGATATCTACGTACATTCTGAAAAAAAAAAACGCATTTTCAGAATTCACATACGTACGTTATAAAGATTAAAACCAACAATAAAATATAATATTTATAAAATAAAAAACACACAATAGATAATTTATTACTTTTGAATTAATAATGTAATCCTTACTAATATTATAAATCAGAAAGTGACTTTGTTTGTTTGTTTGTTGCAAAAAAGTTCTGTGAAATACTTTCTGCCTTTTAAAACATAATTTGGAACAATATAATCGATCAATCGTCGAAATCCTAATTGTTCTAAGTGTTGAAATGGCAAATCTGATAAAGATAACATTTCAGCAATCAAATAGTCAATTTTTATAGATTTGGGATTTGTATTGTCCCACATTCTTGCTTTTTCCATAATTATAATCTTTGATAAAAGTTCGTTAAAATCCTGTTTGTACCGTTTGCAAACTTTACGATAAAGTTGCATCAAAAAAAAAACACGTGTTACAACATTTTGGAAAATTTCTTTCACGTCATATATCTGGTCAAACTTATCATCAGGAGTTTCATTGTTATCGTTAACATTTCACGGTATTACTAAAGATTTTCAACAAAAAAACGTCGTTTTGAAAGCGCACGTTCTTGAAAATTTTTCAGTGTACATATGTTGGAGGAATGGGAAATTGAGAAACAAAATGTACATTGTATGTACGAGATGGAGGATGTAATACGAAGCGCGCTTGTTCATTATTAGAAATAAATACTATTGACTGTACAGAGGCCTTAGTACGAGTTTGATTTACGTTTAAAGTATTCGAAACGAGTACGCGTTCGGCGCTCTGATTGGCCGGCGCCAATGAAGCAACCAATTAGAGGCCTTAGTACGAGTTTGTTTTACGTTTAAAGTATTCGAAACGAGTTCGCGTTCGGCACTCTGATTGGCCGGCGCCAATGAACCAACCAATCAGAGCGCCGAACGCGTACTCGTTACGATTACTTTAAACGTAAATTAAACTCGTACTAAGGCCTCAGCTCATCAGTTATTAGGCAGCATTTTATTCTGTTAATTGAATATAAAAGATCAGCGAGTAAAGTGACGGATATGGATACGGACACGGACCTTATTGCTCCCGCGGATATCCGTGGATACGGATCTCCGGAGCATCACTAGTTGTTAAACGCCTTGGGTGGGGATTGTAGTTAGGTAATCGCAAAATTTAGAGAATGCAATTTTTCATAGCTTAAATACATACCTATGTAGGTAGATACCCGGATTGTGAATAAAAACATTATTTCGATTCTTTGTGACGTTTGTCTAAGATCATTATAGCAGCTAAAGAAATAGAAAAATTAAGTAAATATCATCTACCTCTATTAGATAAAGAAGTAACCCGCTTATGGAAAGCACACGCCCAAGTCGTACCCAACCAACATTAGCCGGGCTGAATCGGTTCAGCCATTCTTGAATTTCAGCGAGACTAATGACGGAAATTCATTTTTATTATTAATATAGATTTCTCGTAATTTCTATGGAAAACGGAAACAAATTGGATGGCGCGCATAGACGTCGCAGGCGCGCTTGTAGATATTGGATATTAAAAGTAGGTACGCATGAAACTCAAAAGTAAAAAAAATTACAATGCGTTACATTACGCATAATTAGGAATTTTAAATAAGTATGAAGGGACATACATTTAAAATTATAAACATTTCACGTCAATTGATTTTGTGAATAATCAAGTACCTAGGCATTTATCAATTTACCAATGTTTCGGTATTATTAAGGCGCCCGCTTCTCACTTGGAGGCAGGCTCCACGGGATAGCGAAAAACATTGATGTTCAAATGTACACTGTCAAACTTTATATAAATAGGTAGGTATTGTAAATGTGAGAGCCCTGTAACTAACTAAATTAAATTAGACTAGTAGAATGCACGTGTATGCAGCTTGGAGTTGTCATGCTCTCTCAAAAGTCTCATTGGCGGTGGATCGCTCGATTCCCTATAACATGGTTGAGTTGGGCGGTGCTGGTGTACGTGTCATGTTCGTGAACGGGCGCTGTCAACTGGGACTGGTCAGTTCCAGACTGTATTAAATTTATTGTCCTCAAGGTTATTTTCTTGTTCCGTCTCCTTGACCAAATATTGGTGTTACATTGTTCTCGCATAATTGAACTCAACGAAATAATGTAACCAAAAATTGTATTGTAACATGATTGAAAAAGAGTATGGAGTTTCTTGCTCGTTCGTCTCCTTAGGAATCTACACTTTGGAATGAGCAATTAGCTTCACTAGAGGACTGACCAATAGACTGACATTTTTTCTTATTATTTAATATTTAAATATTTTGTTTTGACGTTCAAAAGTGCCTTCCTGGTCTAATTGCAATAAATGATTTTGACTTTGACTTCACGAATGAGGGTTCGCCAGGCCAGTTCGAAACCTACCCACAGCAAGGACCAATGTGACTTTTACCGAGTTACATGTACTTTCTAAGATTATCTAGACACTATTGACAAACGGTGAAGGAAAATATCGTGATTTCCTCACTTTTCTAAGCTTATAACTTCCAATTATAAGTTTGAAATCGCCAACGTGCACTGAGCAAGCGTGGTGATTAATGCTCAAACCTTTTCAGTGTATGAAGAGGTCAGCAGTGGCTACTTGTTGATATTAAATGGTTTTATTTACCTTGATGCGGTTGTTTGTTTGAACCAAACTCTTTAATTTTAAACGATTTAACCTCTCGCGTGTTTCTCGTACACACGGGTGTACGAGAGAGTTGAGTGCCCATCGCGCAATTGTACACACGGGTGTACGAGAAACGCGCACCAATTGGATATTTTTTCTGTGACGTATATTTTTAAGTTCGCAACCCGTTCCTTATTTGATTGAACAGAATAGTTAATTCGCTTTTCTATTAAAATATTTACCCGTGTGTACGAGAAGCGCGCGAGAGGTTAAACATCGACCTGATAATATTATTTGGTATGTACACTTATTTTGATGACGACAGTACCTATTATAATCAAAATTTTCCCACATACTTGTGGAGGTACTGCTCCAAACGTAGACTTGACTGGTAGAAGAGAGCGTATTAAAACCGTTTAGCATAATATTTTTATGTAGGTACTAGGTACTTGTTCTTTTTTTAGACCCTGGCAATGGAAACTATGCGTTAAAATTGCGGCACTCTGATGGCACCAATGAACCTATTTAAGTGAAGTTAAAATTCTGTTGGATGTGATTGTTTCACAAGCGATTATTAGGGTCAGGAAATAAGACTCGTATGTAACGACTTTCAATTACTGTAACGCGGTAATTCGATTTTGGTTTGTGTCGGACTACTCACTATTTTTCTTCCCCCGCTTCCCCCGCCACTGACCGCTCGACGCTTGCGAAGACGCGACAGAACAACGAGTCCCGCGCCGGAGCTGAGACGCACGCGCTCCGTATTTGTGCCGCGAAATATTTGAGTTTTATCCCATTGTATTATTGTGCAACTTTGTTTATATAGTTTAAACTTTATTCCAATATATAGTTTACAGTCATTCGTGTGTCGAACTTTATTTCACACCCTGAGAATCCACTAAGACAATCATCTAAGTATATTAAATTACATAATTAAAATAATTTTACAATCTAAGCCGGACCATCGACTGAACTTTTTCAATTCCCGCCAAGGTGTGTTACATCTAACATTGCCATGTTCTACGCAATAATTCATCAAAAATGAGCTTCATTCAAATAATTTACTTATTAACTAAAACTTTTATATTTTTGTAATAATTGTAAAAGTATTTATATAAAATAAAAAAAGTAACTAACTTATTAAAACATCTAATAAACAATATTTCAATAGAGGTAGTATTTAGCAAGCATTTTAATTACGAACATTATTTAGCAAGTGTTGCTATTGTATATATTATACTCCGCATCTATATCTTAACACGATAAAGCGTTAAAAGTGGACTGTAATGATTTTACATGACTATTCTTTACTTACCTATAAGTACCTAAGTGTACTTAGTCTTACTGAGTACATCAAGTACAAGATTTTTAACATGACAGCATTAATTTATTTACCTCAATGAAGCCTTTAAACAATCTGTTAAAGGCAAGTCCTCCGCCGTCGATCGTCGGTGACTCCCCATGGCGTTTACTGCGTTAATAGGGAAGTGGGAACCCCGGTAGGGGACCATCCTAGAAGTACATTATTAGTATCGATGTTCTATGATACACAAATGTGGTGAACGAAATAATTTTTTCTAATTTCTGAAAACAGTGTTACAATTTTTAACTATAGTCAGAATTTTATATTATATTAGATTCCAGATTTGACAATAGCTACTGTCATTTTGTGAAATAATGATACCACATATAATAGTGCAGTGATGCACACAAAAATCGATAAACAATCAGTGTGTGTGTTTTATAATAAATGTTACAGAAAGTGACAGTATAGCGATAGCGATGACAGCGACAATTTATAAAATAACTTATTACCATAATACATCTATCTATTTTATTTGTCATGTTCCTTCATGATTACATTTTTTTATTTATTTCACACACAATTATAAAAGAAAAGTCTCAGATCGTTAATTAATCGTCAAAACTAAATTTTCGGTTCAGAAATATATAATTTCCTGGTATACTTAGTTTACGAGAGTAAAATTATAAACGAGAAGAATCGATCTAGAAATATTGCATTTCCATATCGAATAATTTCGCAACGTCACTATTTAGTACTTTTCATAACGTTGCAACACTGAAATTGTCAAATCTGGAATCGAATTAAAATTCCGAGTATATATAAGTAATAATACTATAATTTTTCTAAACTATATCAAAGTAATTAAAGTTAAACCATCTAAATATCTTAAAATAGTTATACTTATATACCTACCTATTGTTTTTTGGAGTCGGTGCCAGTGCCAGCGTATTAAGTTTACCCGCGAACTAGAGACGGAAAAAAGAATTATTCAAATCGGTTCATTATGCGGAGATATTGCGTATAAAAAAGTTCATCCCCCAATTTTCCACCCTTGGGGGTGAAATATTTTCTTCAAATTCGCATGAAACCACCCTTTTGATAATACCTATTCAATAAAAAAATAATCGTTCAAATTGGTTTAAAATCGGCGGAGTTATTGCGTATAAATAAATTCATCCCCTATTTTCCACCCTTGGGGGTTGTTATTTTTATTAGTAAATTTAAATGGGACCAACCTTGAGGTATTACCTATACGCCGTAAAAAGAATTTTTCAAATCGGTTCATAATTGGCGGAGTAATCGCGTAACAAATATAGAAAAAAAAAAAAAAACATACGGGTCGAATTGAGAACCTCCTCCTTTTTTTGAAGTCGGTTGAAAATTTGCAGCTCGTTCTGTTCCCGAACATGAATGTGTCCCTTAGTTTTATACAAACCTGTGCCTTTAGCCAAACGCCACTTTAGCACTTATCTACAGAGAGAGTAGAAAACTAAATTCTTTTCTATTCTACATGTAGACAAGCGCTAAATGGTATTTGGCTACAGCTGCTGTTCCTAATAATATCGAACTGGATAAAAACGGAAATATTATACAAATTGGACGAGCAGAGGCCTTAGTACGAGTTAGATTTACGTTTAAAGTATTCGAAACGAGTACGCGTTCTGCAATCTGATTGGCTGGCACCAATGATCCAACCAATCAGAGTGCCGAACGCGTACGATTTCGAATACTTTCAACGTAAAACAAACTCGTACTAAGGCCTCAGTTCAGGAGTTATTGACTTACATTTCGGTGAATCATTTTTATTTGTTTATTAGATTAAAAAAAAAACTACAAGTTGTATAAAAATATTTATTTTGATATGTTGTTATCACAATGTTTATCACTTACGATCTTGAGCATAATTTTATTACTTAGATATATAGTAAACTAGTATCTAGTATGCAATTTGATTGTAAATCTCATTGGCCCATGCACCTATTTGGTTATAAATATAATTTATTTACTTCATTCTTGCATTAGTATCTTAGGGCTTAGTACGATTTTATTTACGTATAGTGGCCGGCTCCAATGAACCAACCAATCAGAGGCCTTAGTACGAGTTTGATTTACGTTTAAAGTGTTCGAAACGAGTATGCGTTCTGCGCTCTGATTGGCCGGCGCCAATGAAGCAACCAATCAGAGTGCCGAACGCGTACTCGTTACGATTACTTTAAACGGAAACACACTCGTAGTAAGTCCCCTGATTGGCTAACTAATGAAAAACTCTATAAAATACATAAATATTAACAATAGTACAATTATATTATAATTTTTATTTAAGTTTTGCAATTTTAGACTGATCAGCGGATAGGGTAAAAAATATATAAATTTTCGAATTTTAACATAAATATAGTAAATGCTGATAATACTACAAGACTATTTTTGTCCATATTGCAACGATTATAAGTTTACTTTCGTTTCATTAGAAATATTATTTGTAAGAAACGAAGTAAGGCTCTAGTCAGACGGACCGCATTTCAACTTCAATCCAACCGCAAATTGCAGGTCGGATGCAGTTTGAAAGCAATCTTGTCTCGACTGCAATTGAATTGCAAACCAAACGAGCAGTCCGATTGCAGTTCTATTGCAGTCATGACCAAACTGTTGCGAACCAAACGGGCAGTCCGATAGCAGTTCTATTGCAGTCATGACCGGACGGTTGCAAACCAAACGAGCAGTCCGATTGCAGTTCTATTGCAGTCATGACGAAACTGTTGCAAACCAAACGAGCAGTCTAATAGCAGTTCTATTGCAGTCATGACCAAACTGTTGTGAACCAAACGAGCAGTCCGATTGCAGTTCTATTGCAGTCATGGCCAAACTGTTGCAAACCAAACGAGCAGTGCGATTGCAGTTCTATTGCAGTCATGACCAAACTGTTGCAAACCAAACAAACAGTCTAACTGCAGTTCTATT